CTCTTTCTATAATTTTTGTCAGAAAGCAACGAACCTAGCCACAACAAGAGTCTAAATTAAGGATAATTTTTCTCTTTTTATTGCTATTTGGAGTCCAAGTGCTACTTTTATCTTCCTTTGGTAGGGTTTCATTTGTCATACCGGCGTACGCCGAATGCGCCGCTTGACCTTTCGTAACCTGGCTTGTTACTTCATTTGACCTGGGAAGGTTTGCCAGCGTACGCCAAATGCGCCGGTCTGAAATGACCGGCGAGGAGATCGCCGGTGTAACGTTGAATTTTGACCCGGGTTGAAAATTGACCCGGGGGTCATTTTTCAACGTTGAATACTGAGACTAAAGATGTTGAATTTAGACACTAATCCGTTGAAAACTGAGCCGGGTCGTGGAATTTTGATCATGAAACCGGTTCAAAATTCAACAGCATAAAAACACATATTTATCATTGGGTTTTCACTACTGTGACTTAATTCATAGGTATGAGGCCCCGTTTTGGTATTTACTGCAAAAAGTAATATCCCCTATTTGAATAAGTGATATCACCTGTTCCAATAGATGATATCACCTATTTGATTTGAATTTGTGATATCACCAATTCGAAAAGGTGGTATTGCCTATTCGAATGGGTGATATCTCCTTTTCCCGTCGAACAGCTGTAGTTTTATTTTGCTTACAAATTAATTTATTTCACTTATATATCATGTTAACAACAAGAAAATCGTAGAAAACGCATGAAAACTGGGTAGTCCAAATTTTCTTGGTTCCAGTGGTAATCTATATATTACAGGGAGCATTCACTATTGACTGTTGTAAAAAACTCAAATGGGTTATATCACCTTTACGAATAGGTGATACCACTTATTCAAATACGTGATAGCACTTATTCAAATAAGTGATATCACCTTTTATTCTAAGCTCTCTGACTTGATCACATGATTAAGTATATAACAGCATAAAGACTTGAGTTACTATTCATAGAATCTGAAATGCATATTGACTTCATGTTTTTTTTCTTGTGATCATATGCTATATTGCAAGAGTCCTTTAAGAAAATTTCATTAAAGTGAGTGACATCCCTCCCCCCTGCCTAGTTTTCTCATAGAACAAGTGTTAAAATGGAGATATTTTTTTTGTAAAAACAGAAATATTATTGATTTCTCATTTAAAGATAATACAAAGCATGACTTGATGTTTCTGAAAAAAAAATACTACAACTTGTATTAATATTTTTTAATGTTCCGTAATTGATGAGACGTAACAATGCCTTGAAGTCTTGAATTAGGATCTACTTGTGCTTATATTAAAACATATTGGATACCTTTGTCAAAAATTGATACGAGACATAATCAAATAATTAAATTAACATTCTAAATAACTAAATCCTCTATTATTACTCCATCAATGTATAAAACGAAACACATTTATTTAATATTAAACAGCAAAAGCTTAATTTATGCTGATCCCTAGTCTCTAAGTCTTGAAGAGAGAAAACTTATTTCCAAAATTTTCAAATTTTGTTTCGTCAATCTATGTGATAAAATGATTTATTTTCGATAATAATGTGAAACTTTACATTCCTATTTAATTGAGTTTACAACCAATTCTAGTTTAATTTGTCATATTTCCCACAATAAAATCATAGCAATTGTTGAAAAAAGAATAAAAAAAACATCGCATAGGAGATCATAGAGATAAAATTATGTAAATAAGATGAAAAGTTTATCGAATAGGAATCGTATTTTTTCGAATAGAAATGGATGCTTTCGAACAACAACTTTATTGCATATATACCAAATAATTATCGAATAAAAAAAAATAAAATTATCGAATAGGAATGACAAAATTAGCGACTAGCAACTGATTGTTTTAAATATAAATGACATCGAATAGGACACGCGTGTTTTCGAGAGAAAAAAATATGTAAATTTTATGATATATGAATCATATTGTCACATTTCCTGTAATTGGAATAGCAATTTATCGAATACAAATTACAAATAATGGAATAGAAATAACAAGTTATCAAATAGGTATCACATTCCATAGAATAAGAATGTTTTAGAATAAGAATAATCTCATTCTCAAGTTTATGGTCCGAAAGCGATCAATTTTCAAGCCGAGACAGTCTACTGACAAATAAGTTAATTGTTACAGGGATTTCAACAAATTATTTAAAGTAAGCATTACTTACATGCTATGGTCGCTATATTGCTCTTTTCACAAATATAACCTATCATTGGAATCATTTTCGTCGATGTGTTTCATTCTAATTTTTAGGCTATAAATTTTATTTTTATACTGAATTTGACTAGATGGGATGTTCCACCCACCTGATCAATATATATAGGGCTACTTTCTAGACTGCAGATTTTTAAGATTTTTGTTTAATGCCCTATTCGTTGTTTTGTAGTTATTTATGGATGCCATGGATTTTGGAAAGTATTGTCAAAAATAAAGTTGTCATGCTTGAAGATAACTAAAATCGCGCACTGTTCAAAATGTACATGTATACACGGGGTGATACTGTATGTTTATTTCTATTTTTGAAAAGAGAAAAAATTGAAACCGAAATATAAATAAAGTGATACTGATAAATCCCGAAAACAACTTCCCAGCTAAAAAAATGTTCAAACTTTGAGGTGGGGTCAATATTCAACAGGGTCAATTTTCAACTTGTTGACGTCATCAGGTGTAAGAAAAAAAAATCAAGCTGTTGAAAAATGACCCCGGGTATAAATTCAATGACTTTTGGTCTCAATATTCAACGTTGAAAAATGACCCCGGTTCAATATTCAACGTTGAAAAATGACCCCCGGGTCAATTTTCAACTCGGGTCAATATTCAACGTTACACCGGTCTTAGAAATATGGCGGGAAGAGAAAACAGCTGTGAAAATGCAGTTACTTTTTACCAAATCGACATGTTCTTTTTTTGTTTGCATATTTTAAGCAAATCTCTATTCATATATTCAGAATATGTTTTTATTTTCTGAAAAATAAATTTTTCATGAGTTCCATATCTTTTTTTAAAAATTGAATTTCGAATTATTCTACTAAGACATAATGTAACAAGAGGCCCACGGGCCTTATAGGTCACCTGAGTATTGTGTAACAACTTTCAAACAATTAAATTTGGTTCGTGTTTAAACCGGAGGCCATGAAATTCACAATTTACAATTTTGAAAGAGGCACCATTGCTTATCATAATTATTAACTTAGCATGCTTACTCTATTTACTTAATACCCAGAGGTAGATCAGAGTAACAGAGAAAATGCACTTCCACTTTATAACCAGTTGTGCACCTCACCCCAAAGGAACCACTGACCCAGGGCCATATATTTCAAAATTTTGCAAATTTTATCATAAAATGGTTGATTAATACCAAAGAGCAGATTTCAAAGCATTAATTTATTTTCAGGCTTTGTAACCCCCCCCCCCCCCCCACCTTTGACACTGGGGGCATTAAAAACCACTTTGCAAGATGCACCTTTCTTCATCATAAATATATATATACTTGGATCATTGGCTTAAAACCCAGAAGCAAAGAAAAATATTTACAAAGAATAAATGTATTTTTACTATATAATCAATAGAGCCCCGACTTAACACCAGAACCCCTGACCCTGGGGCCATAAAATTCACAATTTTGGAAGAGGCACTCTTGCTCATCATAACTATGTGCTTAGTTAGTTAATCTTATACCCAGGAGCAGAGAAGAAGATTTTCAAAGAAATAATGCATTTTCACTATATAATCTATAGGGCCCCGCCCTAACACCAGAACCCCTGACCCTGGGGCCATAAAATTCACAAATCTGGAAGAGGCACTCTTGCTCATCATAACTATGTGCTTATTTAGTGTATTTAATACCCAGGAGCAGAGAAGATTTTCAAAGAAATAATGCATTTTCACTATATAATCTATAGAGCCCCGCCCTAATACCAGAACCCCTGACCCTGGGGCCATAAAATTCACAATTCTGGAAGAGGCACTCTTGCTCATCATAACTATGTGCTTAATTTGTTTATTAAATACCCAGGAGCAGAGAAGAAGATTTTCAAAGAAATAATGCATTTTCACTATATAATCTATAGAGCCCAGCCCTAACACCAGAACCCCTGACCCTGGGGCCATAAAATTCACAAATCTGGAAGAGGCACTCTTTCTCATCATAACTATGTGCTTAGTTAGTGTATTTAATACCCAGGAGCAGAGAAGAAGATTTTCAAAGAAATAATGCATTTTCACTATATTATCTATAGAGCCCCACCCTAGCACTAGAACCCCTGACCCTGGGGCCATGAATTTCACAATTTTGGTAGAGGACTCAATGCTCATTACATTCATGCCAATAGTTTGCCTGCTTGATGTCCAGGAGTAAAGAAGAAGATTTTTAAAGATTTCATTAATTTTAGTGGTTTTGGCCCCACCCCTCAGGCCCCAGGGGGGCGGGGACCATGAAATTCTAAATTTTTGTTCCCCTGCACCCATAGATGCTGTATACCAAATTTGGTTGAAATTGGTTCAGTGGCTGAAAATGTTCAAATGTTAACACACGACGGACGACGGACGGACGAAAACGGATAGCAATAGGTCACCTGAGTTACTCAGGTGACCTAAAAAGTGATAAAACTTAATTAATTGATTAACAATTAGCTTTATTATTCATTTTTAAAAAATGTTTTCGCCGGTTTACTTCATTTGCCTCTTAGCCATTTTACACCGGTCATATGACCGGCGCAATTCGGCGTATGCCGATCAGTGACAAATGAAATTGGCCCTTTGTTAAAAGTACACCGGTAGAGCTACAGTCTCATCAGAGACTTCTGGTTTTTTTTTTTAATGTTATATTCACCCTCTTCATTGTGGAAGTATTCTAGACTATTCCAAAAAAATCTAAAGACTTTGCAATAAAAAAAGAAATACATTTACTTAGCTGAGTAATTTTATATCGATCGGGTTCAAACAATTTCTTGCATTTTTAACTAAATTGGTCGGGCGCGGTAATCCACGACAGGCTTTTGTACGGAAAATGTCTAAAGAAGAAAAATCAGAAAAAAGATCGAAAAGGGCAATAAGAAAGGAAGCAAGTGAGCATAAAAGAATAAAGCAAGATGCGATGATAAAGGTAGGCCTAGAAATTATGGCATTTGTTAGCTGATATTCTGCAACACGTGCTTATAGAATTTTGTAAGTCTCGAATTGCCTCAGTTCAGATTTGTAGGTTTTTAAAAATTATTCGCAAACTGATTTTTTTTTTTGTTAAACAAAGGAGTTGGATTGGGATTTGTTTTTGTGATGTGTAATTGATAACTAGGTTGAGTATGTTATTTTCAGGAGTCGAAGTTGAGCGCCAGTCTGTTTTATGCTGAGGAAGCAGAAGTTGATACTCGCTCTCCGGAGAAAGATGTGGAGATTTTCAAATCTACTTGTGCAGACATTCGACAAACAATGCTTGATATAAAAGCACTTAAAGATAAGAAAGCAGTGAGTTTCTTAAAATTAGGTTTAAAAATTACTGAAAGTAAATCTGAATTGTCAGAGGCCCAAAGATCATTATGGTTCTGCAGTCCCTCATTGGAGGGCGTATTACGCTTCGCTAGACAACACTGATTTATTATTCCTTCCTATTTTAGTCACATGATGAAATAGACGACAAAAGAGTCAGTGTAACGTTAGACTTCATCAATCTCAAGAAACTGAATCGACTTGCTCACGTCCGCTGTAAAAAAGTGAGGGAAAATACCAATGAGGTGAGTAAATTAAACTTATTGGACATCAATGCTACTTTGATTCACCTGTATAACTGCCCATTACAGGTATGACTGATTGATGTATGTTGTAGGCTAAACAGAGAATTGACCAGTACCATCTGCAGTTACAGAACCTCCTGTATGAAATCATGCACTTAGAGAAGGAGATCACTAAGTGTTTAGAGTTCAAGTTAGTTTTGATTTGTTTTGTTTTTTGAGAATTTATACCATTACAATTGTATTTCATCAACATTCAGATTGTAAATACTTGATAATAAAAAAAATTCTGTAACCTGTTTTTTGTAGTATTGTAAGAAACTGATGTTTTTTTTTTTTTAATTTTATCTAAGCTTTCAATAAACTTTTATTTTTAGGTCAAAAGATGAGGAAATAGAACTGGTTTCTTTGGAAGAATTTTATAAAACTGCCCCAGCTGACATATCACATCCTGTGAGTTTGTTTTGTATAATGTTTGCATGTATTAGTATTTTTTTGTACAAAAACATGCAAAACAGAAATACCTTTATACAATTCAGACATTTTTGTCTTTTAAGAACATTGTCTAGGTAACTAGATTTGATAAATAATTGTAAATTCATTTTGTTTATACTGATGAAAAAGTTCACACTTTTGAAAAAAAAAGTCATGAACATGAAGGCAATTATATGTGATTTTGTGAATTAGCTATAATTTTGTTTTATTTACAGGAGACAACTAAAACTGATCAACATCAACAGAGATTGGCCAGACTTGACTGGGAGCTGGAGCAGAGAAAACAGTAAGATACTTCCTGTTTAATAAGACACATGGAATCATCTCATTTTCCCCAATTAATTTATTATATTTTCCACTTTCTCTGAATTTAAGTACATTCACAAAGTACATACTGTACATATTGGAGGGAGATTAAATTTCATCTATTTCATTGTTAACAATTATCAACAAAAATAAATGCAAACGGAACTGTTTTGGATGACAGATCAATGAAATTTTATCCCCACAAAAATTTGTGCTTCTACAGTTATTGGATCTTAGTTTTACTTTTACATAATGAATGGAAGACAATTACATGGTTGGAGGTCCTTGTTGAGTCATTTTCTAAAATGAACATGATTTTGTAGACTTGCAAAGAAATTAAAAGATTCAAAACAAAGTAAAGAAGGTCTGGCTCATGAAATAAAGAGCAAACAGGAGTATCTGGAAAATTTACAACCCAAACTGAAAACAGTCTTAGAGGTAGGAGTCTGCGATTGTGTGAAAGTTGTAGTTACTGATGATAGAGAATGCCTTCCATCTTGATTTTAGCCAAATAAATCACTAGTTGGGACTGACATATTGAGTTGTTTATCAACAGTCAACCAAGCCAGTGCAGGAGTACTTGGACATGCCGTTTGACCAGATCCGAGAGGAACAGGAAACAGCCCGACATCTGCCACCCCCGCTTTACGTCCTGTACATGCAGACCTCGGCTTACAGACAAGCTTGTGGTAAATAAGTCTCTACCTATAACACCTTTACATTATGTTTTCGGATAATGATAGCTGTTATGTCAAGCAGATGTTTCAAGAAGTACATTTGCACTAGGTTTACCTCCACATGATTAAAGAATAAAGTTCTAATTACTTGTACAGTGAACTTCATGTATTTTTATGTTTATTTGATTTTTATGCCCCCCTTCGAAGAAGGGAGGGCATATTGATTTGCTGCAGTCTGTCGGTCGGTCAGTCTGTCTGTCAGTCCACTTAGTTTCCGTTCATTTTCTTCACAACTGTTGCACATACTGAAATGAAATTTGGTATACAGATATATCAGATGAATATCTAGGTCAAGTTCTGTTTTGGGTACGATCGCACCATTTTTGACAGAGTTATACCCCTTGGACTTAGGAAATTCCAATTATTTGCAGCTTCCATTCATTTTCTTTACAACCATTGCAAATACTGAAATGAAATTTAGTATACAGATATATCAGATGAATATCTAGGTCAAGTTCTGTTTTGGGTATGATCGCACCATTTTTGACAGAGTTATGCCCCTTGGACTTAGAAAAATTCCAATTATTTGCAGTTTCCATTCATTTTCTTCACAACCATTGCACATACTGAAATGAAATTTAGTATACAGATATATCAGATGAATATCTAAGTCAAGATCCGTTTTGGGTACAATCGCATTATTTTTGACAGAGTTTTGCCCCTTGGACTTTGAAAAATTCCAATTATTTGCAGTTTCCGTTCATTTTCTTCGCCGAGGTTGCACATACTGAAATGAAATTTAGTATACAGATTTATCAGATGACTTTCTAGGTCAGTTTCTGTTTTGGGTACGATGGCGCCATTTTTGACAGAGTTATGCCCTTTTGGACTTTCAAAAATTCCAATTTGGGGGGAGGGGGCATAAGTGTTTTACAAACATCTCTTGTTTACCTTTGTTATTTCAAATGGGTGGATATCTCGAAGCATAATCTTGATTCAAGGTTTCAATGTATGTAAGTTGTCAAGTATAATAATCTATGTGTATTTCAGACAAAGATCTTCAGGTCAGCATCATTGGAGATTTAGAGGCCGCTAAAACAAACAAGTCCAGATCCCAGGTTGTAGGTAAGCAGTTTCCTATATATTTTGTCCATTGTACAGTGTAGCTTACATGGCTATAGACCCTTTTCCTATGACATATTTTGCCTAGGAGTTATTCCCCTTAGCCGCCATCTTGTAGGGCAAAGTAGTGAATTTACCTCTTTAAGCAACCAATTTTAAATAGGCAGCAAGAAAAATATGTTGGAAAATATTTACAATTTTAAAATCATGAATTAATAGAAGCCTTGACAAACGTATATTATAAGAAAAATAGTGTTATCTTTACCACAGTAAACAGTATTATAACAAATTGAACTTGGTTGAATAATGAAGGGATCTGGATATGTTGCACTACAATATGGCAGCTAAGGGGAATAACTCCTAGACAAAATATGTCATAGGAAAAAGGTCTATTGTTCCATTATTATCTGTTGTACAGTGTAGCTTACATGGCTATTGTTCCATCATTATCTGTTGTACAGTTTAGATTTTACGATTGTTGTTTGATTTTCCAGAGGAGGAGAGTGACAGTGACCAGGAGGAACAAGAGCATGCCAAGAAATCAGTGAGTAGAAAGCATTGATACAAATAATATAGACATGAACATACATGTAGGTCATTTATCACATTGTTTGAATGATCTTTTAAAATGAAACAGAAAAGAAGAAGGAAGACACAGGATAGTCGCGTGGAGGAACGCAAGCAGAAAGCTCTGAGAAAGCACCCTCTGGCGGTCAAACTGGACATCAACTGTAAAGGTACCAAAAATCCCTGGTTATTGTTGTACTAGAAGCTGTCTAGAAATCTTCACACAAAATATGCATCAATTTTAGTAATATTATTTTTATTTTTGACAGATGGGAACAGTTTACACTTGACCTTTCACTTTCTGTTGACCATGAGAATCATCACTGTCGATATCAACCTGACTCTGGCTGAGAATAACGTGACTTCCATCTCCGGGAGGTGAGGTTACTTAATTTTATTGTGATCAGTTGTAGATATAACAAAAATAATAACGGAACTTTTCAGTAGTGTCTTGAGATACTGTCAAAGGAATTGATAGTAACATTTGCAGTGTTTTTTATTCAGTGTTTCAGTAGAATTTGTCTTTTCTTCAAGGTACTGTAGCTTTGTTCTTTTTGCACCATAGCTGTTTTCATTGTTTAATAATCTTTGCTAACTAAAGCAAATTTTCTTTCTGCAAACTAAAAAGAATTTCTTGAATATTTTGTTGTCAAGAAGCAGTTTTCACAAACTAAAATTATAAATCTTTGACAAATTAACTAGAGTTAATATTTGTGAATAGATGTTACCGGTAAACGTATATTCAAAAACTTTTTTTGCAGAAAAAAAGGTTGGCGGAGAGCTTATCATTTGTTCCTTTCTTTGTTAACTAACTTTGTAATATACTATTATTAATATGCCTTGTTTAGCATTTTTTTTTACAAGTTCAGTGCCATGCAGAAAAATTTTTTTTGATTCTGCTCTCAAAACTAGTTCTACCTAACATATTGAAAGTGTTTTATTCTTCATGTAATTGTTATAAGTATGAAAACAGGTAATTTATTTCAGAATTTCTATTTAAATCTGAGTTATTTTGTTTCACACAGTGATCTTTTGGCACCAAAGTCCATTCTAACTGATCTTTACCCTGGTGACCATGGCAACACCTCCCCTAACCCAGCCAATCAGTATGAGCTACGCAAGTTAGGGTATGTTTCAGAAGATGAATTGCTGTTAAGCATTATCAAAAAACTTGAATGGAAATCTGTTTTGATGAAAAATTGAATGTGTGTAATTTACAGCATTAGTACTATATATACAGTATCTTCCAATCTTTGATTTCAGACTGAAGGATTTCTCGAGCTACATCTCAGATGTAGGTCGGCCATACTTGTGGGCTCAGTGGTTAGGAGGTCTACAGTTTCTGGAAAACAATGCAGTCAACACCCCAGAGGAGGACATCAGCTTCTCTCACATGCAGGAGACGATTAGACGACTGAAACGACGAGTTCGATCCAGACTCTGTCTGATGAAGCAAACAGCAGCATTTGGTGAGGGTTTATAAATATACATGCGCCAAATGAATTTAAAAAAAAATATATGCTTATTATATATATATATGCTTGCGCATTGCAAACACTACAGTCATTTTATTGTTGAAAAAAGGTTGCAATTTAAAAATAGCTGTTTCTTTTTGCCACCATTTTATTTTTGCCCCATTCGCCCTAATCACAGGAGGGCAAATTTAAAACGGGGTGAATTCAAAAAAACATAGTATGATTTCTTTCAAAGAATTGTAACTGGGCGAATTTAAAACGGGGCAAAATATTTTTTTAGTGTGAAAGGGTAAAAATAACCCTGTATACAGTTATCTCAATAAACACAAATATAAACGTGTTTTAATATGGAAGTACATGCACAGTAATAGAAGAAAATGAAAAAGTTTATCTAGTCCATTTATCCCTCACAGAAACTGGAAATGTGGTGGTGGATCCGGAATATCAAGGCCTGTTTCCTAGTAAGATCGTGTCTCGGTTGACATCCTGGAAGAGGACGACATACGAGGACTTTGCGGCGCTGCCGTACACCGAGGCCCTGGTGACAGACGGGGTGGTGGAGGAGTCAGACATTTTCTTCACAGCTGTCGTTGACAGGGGATCTGGTACCTTAATCTTCTATAATATTGTCTTCATAAGATGTTGTTTGAAGCTCTTAAGTTACACTTTGTAGATTTTGATGTTTTACATTGGTACATTTAAAATTGAATTTGAGTCCTTTAAGTGCAAGTTAATATTCATAATCATTTACTTGAACCATATTGAAAAAAAAAGTTGAATGGATGCATGAATTTAATTGAAGTTTTATTTTTGAGTATTGTACACAGACAATATTTTGGGTTTTTTTTCAATTTTTTTTTAAGTAAATGACATATATATTTATAATTTTGTTTTTAATATGTATTTTATAATTTTGTTGATAGCTAAGATGACAGCCCAGGTGGTGATGACCCACGACTACCCTAAGGTGGCCCCACTGTTTACTGTGTCAGTGTTATGGCAGCATGAGAGAACAGCAATGACTGATGAACACATCAAAGTAAGAACATGAACTCATCAAAGTAAGAACATGAACACATCAAAGTAAGAACATGAACACATCAGAGTAAGAATAAGAACACATCAAAAGAAGAACAAAATTATAACATCAAGGTTTTATATAAGTCTATAAATGTTTACATACGACAAATACATGTATAATTTATGAGACATTTTGAAGACAGAAGGTGATGTGAGTGCCAAGTAGGTTTAGAAAGGAACTCTAGCTAGAGAAAGCTAAAGGTTCAAATGTCAGAAGATTCCTTAAGATTGCACATTAATTGCATTAAATCATTTTAGGCTAAAAAAGAGTGAAGGAGATGTTTTAGAACTTTAGTGTGACACTTTTATTTATAGCTTTAATAGGGAAGCTAAAGCCTATAAAACTGTGTTTCAATTGAAACAGGAAAAATGTGATATGTTGTAAACAATTTCCACCTTTAAACAGGAAATGGAAGAAGAAGTGAACGTTCACCACGAGGAGCTGATGAAGACTAAGTCATGTGACACAATTCTGTCCAATCAGATGCAGCGACTGTTGATGTGTTTAGACATCTATCTGGAGACAGAAGCCTCAGGGTCAGAGGAGGAGGGCCCCAGGGAAATCTCCAAGGAGAAGATCTACAACAGGATGCTCAGGTGTGTCACACTGAGAAAATGTACTTGCAGATGATAGAATTTTGTAGGAGTACATTATTTTTCATATATTTACGTAGGATCATCTAATTTTTCTGATTACTTTTTTTGCTAGCTGCAGAACTGTAGCTCTCTGAAAAAAATATATTGACAGACCAGAGAGCCCGAGTGCCACCCATTAAAAGAACTGTATATTTATTGCGCACAAAAAAGTGTTTCGAGATTCATTTCTCCATGTTTTTAAACTGTCATCTTAAAATATTACTAACCGTGTGTTTCTAACCGTATTCTTTGACTGTTTCCACAACAAAACATTCCTTATAATTGTTGTTAACCTAGCCACCTGGCCTTGAAATTGAGATCATTGAAAATTTCATCTATTTACACTGCCATTTTGGTCTGCAAGATAATTCGGTCCAACGAGCTTCGTGCAGATGTACTGGATAGAGGAGTAAGGAATTTGTTGAAATCTGTCTTTTTTTGCGATTGAGGTAAGAATCTGGAAGAAATAATCCAGAATTAAGCAGAACTTTTTGTGCACAATATAGTTTTTACAATGGGTGGCACTGTGGCTCTACGGTCTGTCATATTTTTTTTGAGAGCTATAGTTCTGCAGCTATTTTTTTTGCAAAATAGTTTTCCAAAGTAAGTTTTGTATTAATCTCTGGACATGCTGTAAACCAATAATTATTCATGATTCTTCTGTTTGGAATCCATCTGTGACCATTATATTGCGACTACATAATTACAGTATCTGGGTGGAAAAATTGGTTTGTGTCAATAAATATTCATTGAAAAAAAAGTGGTGAAGCAAGTGGAAACATCTCACTTGCAAATAAAAGTTGGTTGACAGTATTTGAAAAGACGCAATTAAAAATCATTTGCGTCAAAGTATCCATTTTGTCCATTTTTTTTAGCCTATTATAACTTTTAAATTGAATTGCATTGATAACTCTTGCTAAAACATGTATTGCTATCCTTCAGAATTATACAGTCAATCTGATTGGTTTAGAGTATGTCATGTGAGAGGAGACAATTCAAGATGTCTCCCTCATGTGCAGTGTGACAACTATATTGTCTCCCTTCCAATGACAATCACAAGCACCCTCGTGAGACAACTCTACTCAGATCTGATTATGTGTGATGTCTCCCTTCTAACCAGTCCACAATTGTATTATAAATTTTAAAATTTCTATATTTGACAGAGGACCCAGTAGAAGCAAGCCCTACAGATACTGCCCAGACATAGGAATCTTTACACACAGATGAAGTCTAATACAAACCTAGGCTACTCTTTCATTTTGTTCCACGGGAAATCAATGTATTCTCTCTTCATAAAATGACACTGAGGAAATGATTATTTCTGATTCTGTTGTGTTAATGTTAGCAGTATCATGTTACGTATCAAAATTTAAAGATTGAAAACAATTCGAACAGAACAAGTTTCGCCATTGCATTTACAAAACATGAAAGATAAATCTTATCTGTAATAAAGAAAGTGAAAAATAAAAATTTGGAATATTGGCAATGCCCCAATAGTTAGATACTTTTAGTGAATCATATACTAGAACATGTATTGGAAGAATGTTTACATTGTGTTTTATTTTCAATTGAATACAAATAAATTGGCACATTTCAATGATACACTGTGTCTTTGTCCTCTTTGGAAGAGATATATCTAGCTCATTATGTAATTATGTCCACAGCCTATGGATGAGACGATTTGTATAATCTCTGATGGACACTATTTTGGAGCGTTAGGATTGAATGCTAACTCCTCCGGAGGTAGAGAGGGCACCTGGTCGTCTTCTTTATCTCGAGATCCGTGTTTCAGCATGCGTGTGAATTCCTTGTAGTCAAAGAGACCCTTTTGTATGGGAGCCCCGTGAAATAGATCTTCCACCATATCATCTGTCCAGCGCTCACCCATTGTCATCAGACATTCCTTCAGATAATCTTCTTGTATCAAACCTAAAGCAAGAAAATGAAAGGGAGTGGATCAGAGCACTTGGCAAGCAAAGATGATTTTTTTTCTTTCCAGTAAAGATAAAAAAATATCTTGTTGCTCCATAACATTGTTGGATATCCACGGGTGATTTTGTCCTTTACTCATCACTTGGTGGACTGATAATTACTAGTACATGTATTATAAGACAAGATCACCGATAGGGATTCGACAATGGCTCCAGAAAAAAGAATGGTACTCTGCTTGAAGTATTTACTATGATGGCCAATCTTGTAATAATTTTATAATCTATTTGTTACATAAGTAGGAAGATAAGTGACTAATTTGACTAAGGTTCAATTTTTCAATACCTGAATCGTTGATGTCGAAGCAAGCGAAGGCGTTTTGTATGACGTCCTCTGGGTCTGTGCCTGTCAGTTTCTCGCCGAACAGAGTGAGGAACATGGTGAAGTTGATTGGTCCCGGGGCCTCCGTGATCATCTTCTCCAGGTACTCGTTAGACGGGTCCTTACCTAGTGACGTCATCATTTCCAGCAGGTCCTCCTTGTCGATGTAGCCGTCACGGTTCTGGTCTATCATGTTGAAGGCTTCCTGTTTAAAATTGAAATTCACAGTAAAATAAAAGATCAAAACCTAGAGCATTGTGAATTTGTAATTAAAGCCGAGATTGTCTTGACTATCTTCACCAGTGAAGGCAACACTCTATATAAATAAATTATATATCCAGCCGAGATTAAAGACATTGGCACAATTTCGTTCATCTTCACATTTCACGGAAATTATTACTGTCTTTTTTTTTTTTGCGTTTTGTATTTAGCAAATTGATCAGAATGGTGAGAATGCAGAATATTATTTTGTGTCAAAAATATGGTCACAATTTCTCACCATCCAGGCAATTTAGTTACGCAGAACTTTCTCAGGTGTGACCCTTTGAGGTTTCTGTTGGAAAGTGAATACCAGTAGTCGGGGGTTGGCTTACAGGATCAAGATTTTTTTTAACTGATCTCATTTTTTGGATAATTCGATCGGCAAAGTACAACTCATGCAAATCACTATTGGAGACAATTGTGATGACAGCTTTGACGATGGGTCTTACGTTGTTTCTTTCTTGAAAGCTGGTCAACGTCAATATGTATACTTTGTATAATAACTGATCTTAACCTTTAACTTTCTAGTAACATGATTCTGCTTATGCCAGATTGTTAGTTTATATATACGTGGTTCTTTCAACAGAATTTACCCTCAGCATACTCTCCCTTTCACTGTGCAACAGCGATCACAGGCACATGAAATTTGGACTCCCCTATCCCTTAGAATAAAATAAAAGCGAAGAAAACAGCAGAAAACTTCTCAAAATTTTGAGATTTCAACCAACACATCCATAATCTGTTCTATTCAAGCAGATGGCACTTTTTCTAGAGACAGGCTATGCATGGTATGATGATTTTATTATTAATAATAAAAAAAATTCAAATTGTTCACGGAAAACGCTTAAGGGAATACCGTATCAATCGATTAGAATGAATTAATTTAACCAAAACATTTTTTGATTATTGCTATAATTTGGAAAGGCCAAACGTAAAATAAAATGCGAGAGAAGAATAAATATGCTTGATTGGGTTTTAGTATGATTCATGTCATGCCTTTTCATGTGGTCAGGTGATATGTATGTAAATGCATACATGCGTATTCGAATCATTCTACCGCTTCTCAAAACTTGTAGTATGAAGGCGTGTTTATATATGCAAACGTAATTGTTCTGTAATCATGTTGACATAATATTATGTTGTTTGATTGAGTGTAATGATGATACTCCAGTAGTTGGATACAAATGTCATGCGTTCTTTGAATACTAAGTACATGTTACGACTAATGTTGCTGAAAAAATATTTCAGCAAGCAGCATTCCAAAATGATGTCTTTTGTTATCATCTAAGTATAGTTAGTTTGAATTCGGACGACATTAATTGTTAGAGGAAATATATAATTTGTATTTCTCTCAGAGAGAGAAATAAATTATCTAGATTAGTGATAGAGATGGAAGCGAGAGATTACAAGCTTAAAGAATGCGGGATGAGGATATTTAAGAATTGACCTAATAGTAATACCTTGAATTCCTGAATCTGGGCCTGATTAAACATGGCAAAAATATTGGACGTGGCCCTCTGGGTCCTGGCCCGGTGCTTCTTTTTGGACTTGGTACTCGACATTTTTATCTGAAACAAAAAATAAACTAGACAAAGGATCCGATATCAGTACCGTATCACATAGACACAGATTGATACAGGTCTGAATATACAAGACTTGGGGAATTTCTAAGGTGTGCCAAGATTACCAATATTGGTCCGATTCCTGTATTTACTTGAATATGAAGTTTAATCAAGTTTAGTGGAACGAAAGAAATTCGTCATGGTTTTTGGAAAATTGAATAAATTGATACCTTAGAGATCCTGGGAAATAAGATGTCCGACTTCTTTATCTGACAGCCGGTGTACAGCTTCCGACAAAAACAACAACAGCAGCTGTAAGGAACATTGGTAAAGCTGATGCACGCGCATAATCAGCGTTATTGTAGCTCTATACAGGGTGAGTCAAAAATGGGCGAGGAAACCTCTGCTGAATCACCGGAGAAATTGATGTTTTCCTAAAGTATCGTAGACCGTTTCCTATCTTCTTCCGAAATATGACAAGCATGCTATTTGTGATGATGAACTAAAGAACTGATGAAAAAGTCGCGGATCAGATCAATGTCAGAGGATAATACCGGTATACTCGTATCTAAAAGGGTTCCAATCTTAAACAAGAGGCCCAGGGGCCACAGCGCTCACCTGAGCACATCGGGCTTGAATTTACTACCCCCCCCCCCCATTCCAGGCGTTCATCATTTCAACAAACTAGAATCTACACTACCTGAGGATGATTCCATATAAATATCACTAATCATAGCTTTGAAATACTTGAAAAGCAGATTTTAAAAGGTTTCCCTACATATCCCTATGTAAAACTTGGGTCGGCCATTTTGGCCCCACCCTATCCCCAGGGCCGGAGGTCATGATTTGAACAAACTTGAATCTACACTACCTGAGGACGATTCCACATGAGTTTCATCTTTCCTGGCCCTGTGATAATTGAGAAGGATTTTTAAAGATATTTCCAATATATTCCTATGTAAAACTTGGGTCGGTCATTTTGGCCCCACCCTTGCCCCGGGGGTCATGATTTGAACAAACTTGAATCTACACTACCTGAGGATGATTCCACATGAGATTCATCTTTCCTGGCCCAGTGGTTCTGGAGAAGAAGATTTTTAAAGATTTTTCTTATATATTCCTATGTAAAACTTGGGTCGGCCATTTTGGCCCCACCCTTGCCCCAGGGGTCATGATTTGAACAAACTTGAATCTACACTACCTGAGGATGATTCCACACGAGTTTCATCTTTCCTGTCCTAGTGGTTCTTGAAAAGAAGATTTTTAAAGATTTTTCCTATATATTCCTATGTTAAACTTGGGTCGGCCATTTTGGCCCCACCCTTGCCCCAGGGGTCATGATTTGAACAAACTTGAATCTACACTACCTGAGGATGATTCCACTTGAGTTTCATCTTTCCTGGCCCAGTGGTTCTTGAGAAGAAGATTTTTAAAGATTTTTCATATATATTCCTATGTAAAACTTGGGTCGGCCATTTTGGCCCCACCCTTGCCCCAGGGGTCATGGTTTGAACAAACTTGAATCTACACTACCTGAGGATGATTCCACACGAGTTTCATCTTTCCTGTCCTAGTGATTCTTGAGAAGAAGATTTTTAAAGATTTTTCCTATATATTCCTATGTAAAACTTGGATCGGCCATTTTGGCCCCACCCTTGCCCCGGAGGTCATGATTTGTTCAAACTTGAATCTACACTACCTGAGGATGATTCCACTTGAGTTTCATCTTACCTGGCCCAGTGGTTCTGGAGAAGAAGATTTTTAAAGATTTTTCCTATATATTCCTATGTAAAACTTGGGTTGGCCAGTTTGGCCCCACCCTTGCCCCAGGGGTCATGATTTGAACAAACTTGAATCTACACTACCTGAGGATGCTTCCACATGAGTTTCATCTTTCCTGGCCCAGCGGTTCTGGAGAAGAAGATTTTTTAAAAATGCCATTAATTTTTAACAAATTCATGATTATCTCCCCTTGGAAAAGGGCGTGGCCCTTCATTTGAACAAACTTGAATTCTCTTCACCTAAGGATACTTTGTGCCAAGTTTGGTTGAAATTGGCCCAGTGGTTCTTGAGAAGAAGATGAAAATGTGAAAAGTTTACGACAACGACAACGACTACGACGACAACGACGACGACAACAACGACAGACAACGGACAAATTTTGATCAGAAAAGCTCACTTGAGCCTTCGGCTCAGGTGAGCTAAAAAAACTTTTAAAATACAGTTATATAAACTAGAGGTACTATGAGCACTGAGCTCACTAAATGATACCCCTGCCTCCCATATGATTATAGGGAAAGTCCACGTTTTGCTCTGGGAGACCCAAAATAAGTGTCGGAACAAAAGGTAAAATAGGAGGTGCACAATGGCATTATGTAATACAGAATCTATTAAAGTTATTGGAGGATTTGCGGATAAGAGATGGACACCCTTCAATATTATAAAATGAATGATGGCAGTGTCCATGTTTGCCGTGGGAAACCCGAAATATGTGTCTGATCAAAAAGTAAAATAGGATGTGCACAATGGCAATATGTAAAATAGATTCTGTGAAAGCCTCATTAAATTTTATTTAGTGGTATCAGAATTGCGGATAAGAGATGCATGTTTAGGGACCCCAAAGCGTAACAGACGAACGGAAGGACGTCCGGACAGACGGACGGACATTCCGATCACTATATACCCTTCAACTTTTCAAGAGGGGGTATAAAAGGGTTATCATGACCTACATGTACTTTTGAAGTTTTATAACTTTATATACACTGTACATGTAAATATTTTTGGTTCTAATTGGCTTAGAACCATCAATCTTTTTCAGTTGATGTATCTTTGGTCCTTTGAGAGTGTCTTATAAAAAGTAGGTCATCGTAACCTACTTTTGAAATTTTATGGCTATATTTAGATATTCCAGGTCCAGTAAGAATCATCAATTTTTTAGGCATCTTGGGTACTCGGAGGGTTTTAACCGAAAATTAGGTCACTGAGACCTACTTTTGAATTTATAGCTATATTCAAATATTTCAGGTACTTAATGGCTTAGAATCACCAAACTTTGTCAATTGATGCATCTGGGGTCTTTAGAGAATGTCAACCAAAAACAGGTCACTAGGACTAATTTTTTTTTTAATTTATGGCTATATTTACATATCTCAGTTACTACATGTAATTGGAATAGAATCATCGAACTTTGTCAGTTGATTCATCTTGGGTTGACGGAGAACGTCATCTGAAAAGTAGGTTACCATGACCTGCTTTTAAAATCTAATTTCATTTATGTTAGTTGATACATCTTTGCTCCCAAGAATGTGTTATCATAAAAGTAGGTCAAAGTGACCTATTTTTGGAATTTTGAGGCAATATCTAAATATTTCAAATATCAAGTCTTAAAATCATCAAAATCTGTCATTTGGGGGTCTTGAAGAATGTTTACCAAAAGTAGGTCACTGTGGCCTACATATAGAATCTTACGGGTTTATCTGAATATCTAAAATAATAAGGGGCTTTATCCAACTTTGTCAGTTGATTCATCTTGGGTTCTAACAGTGTTTTAATCAAAATGTAAGTCATGATGGCCTACTTCTGGAATTTCAAGGCTTTACAGGATACTTAGAGGCTTCAAATAGAAGTAATTGGTTAACAAATGTACAATTTATCAAAAGAGTGATTCAAGGCCCTTTAAAAACCTACCCTAGTCATAATTTTGTTAGCTAGGTCTTATTACACTGTAAATCACTTAAACAAGACGCTGAGCGTCTGCTCAATAAGCTCTGCTAAAAAAGAACAAAGACTTGAAAATGCATTTATTTAATAATGTATAAAAAAAATCAACATAGTATACAAATTTTGTTACTTTTGATAGAAATGAGATGAAAACGATGTTGTCATTGTTATCTTTTCCTGAAATTCAAGATTACATCAAGATATCATCAGTGATTGTTAGTACCTGCCAGCTCAAAAAAAAAAAATTAAAATACTCAATGCAAACTTGTAAAAATTGCCACACAAAACGTAGTGATATTTATTTAGTAAACATTACAGTTATATTTAGTAACAGTACAGATAAATTTGTAGAATACATTTAATCTCATTTTTCTTTTGATTTTTAACTAAATATTAAAAATGGTTGTTCAGGTGGCCCTAAAATCAAATGATTTTTTAACTTTGAGAAAATAATGTAAAGGTGTAAATTTTGAGATCAGTTTATTTTCAAGATAGGGTACCAGCAATATTTTCCCAGGAAAACTTTTCAAAGAGACAATGAAGTATTAGTGAAAAGTACTCATTTTGCTTACTTATATTAGGAAAATACATGATTCCTTCACTTTAGTCAAGTATATACCTAATCAAACTTGATACTAGCACTGCTAAAGCTTGGATTTATACCAAGTTTAAAACAACAAACAAATTGTACATAATGGATATAAACATGTTTATAAATATCTTTACAAATATTTTACAATGCAATGGAATAAAACTAAATGTACCCTGAAAATATGCAGAGACAAATCTATACATAGCATATTAAAAAAAACAATTGAAAAAATTCTACAGATTCAACTGCTACTTTTACTGTTGTAAAAATTGTATTTACAAAAATGTAATTTTTGTACAGAATCACTTTTAAAAATGTTTGAAGCAGATTTACAAGAATATATCATAATGCATATGCCACTCTTTTCAGATTCATAAGAAATATTTACTGAAATATGAATGAAAACTATTTCCTTTTTCTTTGTTGACATTAGAAAATAATAACAAACTATTCTGAAGAAATTTAAAATATATTAAAGATACAGGGCTTTGCTATAAAATGAATTAAAATTCAGAACTGATGTAAGATATAGGAATGCAGAGACCATCAAACATAATCCATTGAGTAAAGTCAACAGCACAATTAAAGGTTTCTCAAAATACAATGCAGTATGACCAATTTGTGAAAATGTAAAAAAAAAAAAAAAAAAAAAAAACCAAAAGATGATTTAAGGAATTTACTATTAAAGCTCTTATTCATATCATAGTATGACTCTATTCATATTTAGATTGCATAATCCAATCTGAGATTCTACCGATTTGTAGTTTTATATGACATTCTGATTGAAAAGCTGCTACGATCAAGCTACAATACACAATAGTACAATCACTTATTTAACTTTCAGTTTTTTTTAGGAAAAGGAAATGTTCTATAATTTACTTTTTGACAATGAATTGATATTGAAGGTTCTTGTTTGACCAGTTGACCTCCAACAATTTAAAAAAAAAAAAATATTTCCAAATTCTAGTGCATCTTGGTCACAGAATACGAAATTTCATATATTAGGATTATTCAAAAACCTGTAGAATAAAATTATGAGAATAAATACCCGAATTGTTTACACCCTTTCTTATAATGAAACATACAGACATTATTAATAAAATAAACAGATACAAAAATGTATGGATGTGATGAACACACAGCATCCTAATCATACTACAATCAGATCACATAAACTACAGACTAATATGAAATCACTACTCTAATACTGACCAATGAACTACACATAGTACAGAAATGACACGGACTGTCCTGGGTTACATTAAAAACAATGAACATTTTTACTACCTTCTAGGAGTAAGTGGTACATTGTTACTGTAATTAAGTACATCTTTCACTTGAGGTAAAATAAACAACCTCTTCAAAAATACATGATCATAGTTAAGTGTTACAAGTAAAAAGAGATGAGAACATTTCAAGTCTTTTCTTGATGTTCACAAAAATATCACAATATTTGGACTATCTTTAATTGCCAACACGGTGAATGATTCACAGTATAATGGGTGATAGTAAAAAGTTATGAATGAACACAGTCTGCCCTGGTTTTCCCTAGCCCTGCTAGGCTGCGACTCTCTAAGGGTAGTCCAGTACCCCTGCCATGTTAAATGTTCTGTCATAGACTTGGCACAGCTTCCTCGGTGACAGCATTATTTGATTTGATGTCATCTCTGTACCCTGTATTAAACAATAGTAAAATATTATCATGACAAAGACATGAATTTAAATCCTCCTTTTTTAAATTTCAAAATGTTAAAATGTTTTATATCCTATATTTCAGAGGTATATATATATACATGTATAAAAGATAAAGGTAGGAAAGGGTATATAGATTTCTGACTTTATGTGACATGCCAAGGACATGGAAGGATTTAACACAAAATTCACAAGCATTTAGGGAAGTGATATAATGAAAGGAAGAAAAATGGTTGTATGTTGACAACAAGGTTGCACAGGCAAGATCAAAATCAAAATAAACCATCAATAAGTTGCAGCTTGGAAAGTACCGAGTACTCACTTTCGTGAATGTTTACAAATACAGTTATGATAGAAAAGCAGAACATACTACATACTTTCCTTTATATAGTATCTTGCAAAAGTCCTTTAGATATATATTACAGGAATTAATGAGAATTATTCCATCATGGAATGCAACAATTTGCAGAAAAAAATATTTCAATGCTTTTGTCACAGTGACATAAAAGGCAGAACAATGGAGAACACCAGGAAACATTTTGCTTTATGTATCCCAGTTTCATTTTCAGCCAGCATTCAGAGAGGTTGAAATGTAAACATTTTCTTGAGACTTACTAGTTTTACAGACTAGCTAGGTGCTCTTTAGATACTGTGATGTTGTGAAAATCTGTTTATCAAATACAACTCAAAACAAATTAACAAACAGTACCATCTTCTGTGTACAGACGGGTACAAATTGGACCTCACGGCAGTGTTTGTGAGTAAACTGTCAAACCTAGGCCTGTTATGTCTGCCAGACATTCTAATCGAAACTTTTTCAAAAAACATCACTATTATAAGTTTTCTAACACAAAAGTAAAATTTGTAACTATTTTCAGGTTAAAATGAAAGAAAAAGTGAGCAATCTCACATACCCCACGCTCCCCCAAAACTCGAAGTGCTGAAAATCCCAGAAAAAATAAAGGAATCGAAATTTCCCCTTATATGCACATCTACACATTCAACAAGAGGCCCACGGGCCTTATAGGTCACCTGAGCATTATGCAACAACATTCCAGTTACAGTGTATTGAATTTGATTCAATAACATGTTTTAAGCCAGATGCTATATGGCATTCACAATTTTGAAAGAGCACCATTGATCATCATAACAATAAACTTAGCAGTCACTTAGCTTGGTTACTGAATACCCATATGCAGGGTAGGGGAACAAAAATGCACTCCAACTAATCAGTAATATTCATCAATAATCAGTATTGCCCTTAACACTCTGACATAAACCCATGAACCTAGGTTGCACAAATTTAAAAGGCACCCTTAAAATTGCCTATCAAAAAGTAAATAAATGTTTTATAAATTCAAAAGACCAGATTTCAAACAGTTAATTCATTTCCAATATATATTAAGTAGAGCCCCCCACCCCTGACCCTGGGGCCTTGAAATTCACAATTCTGCAAGATTAGGGCCCTTGCTCATCATAACTATATAGGTAGTTCATCTACTTCATACCCAGAGACAGAGAAGAAAATTTTCAAAGATTTAATGTATTTTCACTATATAATCAATAGAGCCCCACCCTAACACCAGAACCCCTGACCCTGGGGTCATAAAATTCACAATTTTTGTAGAGGCACTCTTGCTCATCATAACTTTGCATTTAGTTGGTTTATTTAATACCTAGGAGCAGAGAAGATTTTCAAAGAATTCATGTAATTTCACTATATAATCAATAGAGCCCCCCTCCCCCAACACCAGAACCCTTGATGATAGGGCCATTAAATTCACAATTTTGGTTGAGGCACACTTGCTCATCATAACTATGCACTTAGTTAGTTTATATAATACCTAGGAGCAGAGAAGAAGATTTTCAAGGAATTCACATATTTTTACTATATAATCAATAGAGCCCCCCCCCCCCCCCCCCAACCAGAACCCTTGACCCTGGGGCCATAAAATTCACAATCTTAGTTGAGGAACACTTGCTTATCATCATTATGTACTTAGTTAGTTTATTTGATACCTAGGAGTTGAGAAGAAGATTTTCAAAGAATTCATGTAATTTCACTATATAATCAATAGAGCCCCCCCCCCCCCCAACACCAGAACCCTTGACCCTGGGGCCATAAAATTCACAATTTTTGTAGAGGCACTCTTGCTCATCATAACTATGCACTTAGTTAGTTTATTTAATACCTAGGAGCAGCGAAAAAGATTTTCAAAGAATTCATGTTATTTCACAATATAATCAATAGAGCCCCCCCCCCAACACCAGAACCCTTGACCCTGGGGCCATAAAATTCACAATTTTGGTAGAGGCACTCATTCTCATCATAACTTTGCACTTAGTTAGTTTGTTTAATACCTAGAAGCAGAGAAGAAGATTTTCAAAGAATTCATGTAATTCCACTATATAATCTATAGACCCCCCCCAACACCAGAACCCTTGACCCTGGGGCCATAAAATTCACAATTTTGGTAGAGGCACTCTTGCTCATCATAACTTTTTACTTACTTGGTTTATTTGATACCCAGGGGCAGAGAAGAAGATTTTCAAAGAAATCATGTATTTTTACTATATAATCAATAGAGCCCCACCCTAACACCAGAACCCCTGACCCTGGGGCCATAAAATTCACAAATTTGGTAGAGGCACTCTTACTCATCATAACTATGTACTTAGTTTGTTTATTTAATACTCAGGAGCAGAGAAGAAGATTTTCAAAGAAATAATGCATTTTCACTACATACTTATTTAGCCCCGCCCTAGCACAAGAACCCCTGACTCCAGGGCCATGAATTTCACAATTTTGGTAACGACTCAATTGTGATTACAATCACGCAAACAGTTTGACTGCTTGATGTCCAGGAGTAAAGAAGAAGATTTTTAAAGATTGCATTAATTTTAGTGGTTTTGGCCCCACCCCTCAGGCCCCAGGGGGGCAGGGACCATGAAATTCACAATTTTTGTTCCCCTTCACCCATAGATGCTTTGTGCCAAATTTGGTTGAAATTGGTGCAGTGGTTGCAGAGAAGAAGCTGAAAATGTTCAAATGTTAACGCACGACACACGACACACGCCACACGACACACGACGACGGACGAAAACGGATAGCAATAGGTCACCTGAGTTTACTCAGGTGACCTAAAAATCTAAGTTGAAAAGTGTGGAAATTCCCAGAAAAAATAAAGGAATCGGAATTTCCTGGTAATATGCACATCTACATATTGTGTCCTAAATATCTGCAAAGTTTGACAAAATTCTGTGCAGCGGTTTAACCCCCTTCCCCGCAGTAACGCATTTTAACGCATATACCGTTTCCTATTTCTAACGCAAAATCACGCATTTACCGTTTCCCCGCAATCACGCATTTTCACGCACTATAAAAAGTTCATTTAATCTTCAATTTATTGCCAAATTCCAACTATTTTATACTTGCTTAAATCTCATAAAATAAGAAAAGTTATTTTCTAATTAAAATATTACGTCATAATATTATTTACGCTAAACTTTAGAGAAACTTGTACCCCGCTGTAAAGTGCTTGCGGGGAAATGGTAACGTAATATATCTATGACGCGAGGATTCGGTGTATGTTGCTAAACAATTCAATAAGTTGTAAAGAGTTAAGAGGAGTTGCGCTGACAAACTGTTCATCTCTATATTCAAGGTATGGCCAAAAATCTAAGTTTTTAGTGTGGAAATTCCCAGAAAAAATAAAGGAATCGGAATTTCCTGGTAATATGCACATCTACACATTGTGTGCTAAATATCTGCAAAGTTTGACGAAATTCTGTGCAGAGGTTTAAGAGGATTTGTGCTGACAAAAAGATCATCTCTATATTCAAGGTATGGCCAAAAATCTAAGTTGAAAAGTGCAGAAATTTCCGGAAAAATAAAGGAATCAGAATTTCCTGGTAATATGCACATCTAAACATTGTGTCCTAAATATATGCAAAATTTGACAAAATTCTGTGTAGCGGTGTAAGAGGAGTTGCGCTGACAAAAAACAGGACTGACGGACTGACACTCTAACTGACTGACTGATGGACGGGTCAAAAACATTATACCTCACGGAACTTGTTGCGTGGGGTATAATTAAAACAATGAAGACACATAACCCTAAAAATATGCAAGAGGAATATAACACTTAAAGAAACATGAATTACTCTCTACATTTCAGCAGACAGGGTAATGTTTTTGCTGGAATTTTTTGTGATACAGAGATAAGAGTACTTACAGAGACCTGCCTTGTTGCACTCCTTTGATCCTTCACAAGCTCGCATTGCATTGAGCTGCTCGTGCAACTGTTGTAGAATGCCATAGTTAACATCATGTATAGCATTCCTTGTCTGCAATAATAAAATCTATATTTGTCAATAACTGCACTGACAATGCACATGAATGTACAACATGTAACATAAATAATTTCAATTCTTGTTCCTTCTATGTTAAAATAACCATACAATTAGGTCATTAATAGAGAGACAACCCCCTCCCACCCACCCATATTTTATGAGATTTTCACTGCATTCATTTGATGCTAGCTGTTTTCTTACCTGAAATGGGTCTTTTTTGAGATCATAGTAACTGATAAAGTTGTTGATGAATTCACAGTACAATAGATCATGTGTGGTGTTGAGTGTTCGGATACACCAGTACTTATTGTTTTGCGAGTTTGTACAGAAACAAAAGGGACCATCTGAAACAGAATAATCAAAGGTAATAAAATATCCCATAAATCTAAAATATCAAAACAAATATAATGTTTATGAATTCAAATTTAGAAAGGCGTCAAGCAATATCTACATGGAATTGGTAAAATACAACTACCAGGTATACTGTATGACAAAATATTCTTGAAAAAAAAAAAATCATCACACAGACTTTGATGTCATAATGTATTTAGTACTTACTGAACCAGTATAGAGTGTTTGTCAGATGTATGAGCATCTTTGCTGGCCAAGGGTTTCCCATATGGAGAGCGGAGTGGAGTGAAAACCCACGGCTAGGGAAGATGATGTATGTAGTACTTACTTGACCAATAAGGGGGTGTTTTCCAGTGACTGTTGTCCATTAGTGAGCAGTCCATGGCGGCCCTCCTACAGGCTGGATGATCTCGACGCGTTACTTTCTCATTGGGCGGCAAGTTCCAGTACGTAGCTGTGTAATGGGAAAAAAAAAAACATTATGATGACAAGATGCTTTCCCCTAAGTCACTATATTCTATGATAGCTGATATTGTTGAAACACAGCTTTAGACATGATGACTTGTCGTCAAAGAAAACTAGAACTGTCCAAACGGGACAAAATACCCCCGCTGGGTTTTTCAGAAGTAAGTTTTTCCACAATAAAGATATGTATCAAACACGAATTATAAAATTTTTATTCCAGTGACCTTGAACTTCCCCAAATAACCTTGGGTCAAGGTCATGACACACCCTTGGGTCATGGGCAATCTTTCAGTGAAATGAGAACCTACCAAGTTTATCCATAAGAAAGATATGGACCTGACTTGAATTATGAAATTTTTCTTCCAGTGACCTTGAACTTCCCCAAATGACCTTGGGTCAAGGTCATGACACACCCTTGGGTCATGGGCAATCTTTGTGTGAAATGAGAATCTACCAAGTTTATCCATAAGAAAGATATGGACAACACGAATTATGATATTTTTCTTCCAGTGACCTTGAACTTCCCCAAATGACTTGGGTCAAGGTCACACACACCCTTGGGTCATGGGCAATCTTTGTGTGAAATAAAAATCTACCAAGTTTATCCATAAGAAGGATATGGACCAAAAAGGAATTATGAAAATTTTCTTCCAATTACCAAAATGACCTTGGGTCAAGGTCATGACACATCCTTGGGTCATGGGCAATCTTTGTGTGAAATGAGAACCTACCAAGTTTATCCATAAAAGATATGTATCAAACATGATTTTTGAAAGTTTTCTTCCAGTGACCTTGAACTTTCCCAAATCACCTTGGTTCAAGGTCATGACACACCCTTGGGTCATGGGCAATCTTTGTGTGAAATGAGAACCTACCGAGTTTATCAATAAGAAAGATATGGACTGGACACGAATTATGAAATTTTTTTCCAGTGACCTTGAACTTCCCCAAATGACCTTGGGTCAAGGTCATGACACACCCTTAGGTCATGAGCAGTAGTAGATTCTAATGTCCCTCTGTAAGAAAGATATGGACCGGACACGATTGCACAGACAGACGGACGGACAGACAGACAGCTAGACAGACGGACAAGGTGATTCCTATATACCCCCCCAAACTTCGTTTGCGGGGGGTATAAAAAACCTAACATTATTTGACATAAGGGTTGACTTTAGCAATGTTAGAAAAAGAATTGAATTCATTGTGTGAGTAAAACAAAGTTTTATTCAGTAGCTTATTTTGAGGTCTGTACCATCAGTTTATTTTCCTGAGGGATGACAGTCACTTACAATTCCACAGGGGTGAATCCACAGTTTGCTGCTGCTTTCTCCTCCTCTTCTTGTTTCTTCTACGACGTCTTCTTTGTTCTATTTCCTTTTTCCTAGCAAAACAATTTGGGTAAATTCAATAACAAAGCAGAATGTTTGTGGGTTCCAATCAAGGGAGCTGTATTCATCCCTCCAAAATTTCAACGTTTAATTTTTTTTCTCAATAAGAATGTGGAAATTGATAAACAAAATCTGCCTTTCATTTTAAACAAAAATGTGCCTACACTTTAATCTGTGGCTTATTCACAGACAAGTACCTTTCATATTGTCTGCTGTTACTCTGGGTGCAGGGCTCACACTCAAAATCTAAGTAACCCCGGCCATTCATCTCAATACCAAATTCATTCAGGAACGACTCCTTGGGTTTGGAGGACTTCAGATGCTTTCTATAAATCTGCAACAGGAAGTTTACATGAGTATATGTTGAGAATTGGGGAAGCTTCATATCAAATAGTTGTTCAATCAAAATTCATCAGTAACACAATATTTATTCTTTACACTGTCTTAGCTTCAAATCTTGAAAGTCTATTTCAGGTAATGCATACCCTTGAACCTGCTCTTCAAACTACAGGGTGTCATTTTACACTGAATACAGCACATCAATCCTAAGGGCAAAGCATAACCATGTCTCATCATGAGGTGAGCTAAAGTGCAGGTGATTGTTACATACCCTTAGATCTTCAAGCATTTTCCTGTACTCTTCAATCATTTCATCGAGTTTCTCTTTATGATTTTTCCACTCTACAGGGTCCTGGTACAGAATATTATCACAGGTGACCGTGTCATTGGGTAAAACTCGACAACGTCGATCAAATGGCTGAACTGAAGAAGTCAAAGAGTCATTTTTATAGAGTAATTAAGATCTTTTTTAAAAATGGTTTCAAATAATTCCACTCAAATACATGTACAGGTAACTCTCGATACCTCGAAGTCCGCGGGACTGAGGAAAAACTTCAAGAGATCAAGAGTTCGAGTTTTCTAGAGTCCGGAATTTTCCGGGTTTGTTTGACAGGTTTTAAAATTAGTCTTACCGGATGTAATGTTTTTTATGCAGTGCTAACCTTGTTCATGTGGTTTTTATAGAACAACGACATGTTTTCGTATTTTAGATGAATATTTAATAAACTGAGTAAAGCCAAAAATGTACATAGTCATTTCATGTTTATTTATTTATTCTTTATAATGCGGATATCATACTACGCATTCGTTATATGAAATGACATTTTACAGCGTCGCGTGGTAAACATAGCATCGTGACTATTCCAAACATGTGCAATAAAAGAAGTTCTGTAAGTATTGTCCAACAACAGTCGTCATATTGACATCGAGGCTGTTTCTGAATTTTCATATTTCGTTAAACTTGGACACAGATTCGAAAAATTAAATTTATAATATGTTTCGTCTTGTAACCTACAATTACAATTTTTTCAGTGACACTGCGTTACTAAATTATCGTAATGAAGTCAATGATAATTATTTTAATAGCATATAAGCAACATAAGATAATTATAATTCAATTATCACCTTGCAGTATAGGTGTCACCTGAATAAACATCCCGTTTCACGAGACCCGCGTCCTCTGCCTGGGGCCATTAAATGTCCAGGTAAAGTTGCTGATTATGTAACTTTGTTTACACATAGCCACTTCGAGGTATCGAGGGTAAATTTCAATAGAATATACATAGCGGGACTGCATTTTGACTTCGAGAGATCAAGGGTTTCGAGAGATCAAGAGTTCGAGAAATCAAGAGTAAATTTGCTTAGTTAGATAGGGGAAAAATTTGGGACCGGAGACTCACTTCGAGCGATCAAGAACTTCAAGAGATCGAAGTTCGAGCCATCAAGAGTTACCTGTACATAAAAATGATTTTTATCTCCTTTTTCATTGATAAATTTTCAATTACCTGGTATGGAATTTTGTAGTGAGTTGCTTGCGTTACCAATCATTTGTAGGTAAGATCTCTTGGTTCTAATAAACCTGGGAGTAAAATCTTAAAAATAGAAATAAATAGCTGCTAAATTGTTTACTGTAGATGTACCAAAGATTTTTAATATTTAGTACTATTTCTAATATTTACAGCTCCTACATGTAACTATATAAACTGATGTCTGAGCAGACTCAGACAAGCTTCTGGTTTAATATGTCTACAAACTGTTCTTTTTTCAGATAAATTCAGACAACCCAATAACTTTTCTATATCAATCAAACCTCCTCATCTTGAACTCCATGGGACAAAAAAATATTGAGATATCAAAAATTTTGGACTTTTCGATGGTAAAAAAGTAAAAAACAAGAGGCCCAGGGGCCACAGCGCTCACCTGGGCACATTGGCTAGGAAAAAGCACATATCAGATCAGAACTGAAAGTTTATTTGGGGGGGGGGGGGGGGGGGGGGGGGGGGGGGGGCTTAAATTCTAACCCCCCTAGGGGTTCATGATTTGAACAAACTAGAAGAACAAACTACCTGAAGCTGATTCCATATTAATATCACTAATCATACCTTTGAAGTACTTGAAAAGATAATTTTAAAAGGTTTTCCTATAAATCCCTAATATGTAAAACTTGGGTCAGCTATTTTGGCCCCACCCTAGCCCCAGGGGCCATGATTTGAACAAACTTGAATCTACACTACCTGAGGATGATTTCACATGAGTTTCATCTTTCCTGGCCCAGTGGTTCTTGAGAAGAAGATTTTTAAAGATTTTTTCCTATATATATTCCTATGTAAAACTTGGGTCGGCCATTTTGGCCCCAACCTAGGCCCGGGGATCATGATTTGAACAAACTTGAATCTACACTACCTGAGGATGATTCCACATGAGTTTCAAGTGGTTCTTGAGAAGAAGATTTTTAAAGATTTTTCCTATATATTCCTATGTAAAACTTGGGTCATTTTGGCCCCACCCTAGGCCCGGGGGTCATGAAACAAACTTGAATCTACACTACCTGAGGATGATTCCACATGAGTTTCATCTTTCCTGGCCCAGTGGTTCTTGAGAAGAAGATTTTTAAAGATTTTTCCTATATATTCCTATGTAAAACTGGCCCGGGGGTCATGATTTGAACAAACTTGAATCTACACTACCTGAGGATGATTCCACATGAGTTTCATCTTTCCTGGCCCAGTGGTTCTTGAGAAGAAGATTTTTAAAGATTTTTCCTATATATTCCTATGTAAAACTTGGGTCGGCCATTTTGGCCCCACCCTAGGCCCGGGGGTCATGATTTAAACAAACTTGAATCTACACTACCTGAGGATGATTCCACATGAGTTTCATCTTTCCTGGCCCAGTGGTTCTTGAGAAGAAGATTTTTAAAGATTTTTCCTATATATTCCTATGTAAAACTTGGGTCGGCCATTTTGGCCCCACCCTAGGCCCGGGGGTCATGATTTGAACAAACTTGAATCTACACTACCTGAGGATGATTCCACATGAGTTTCATCTTTCCTGGCCCAGTGGTTCTTGAGAAGAAGATTTTTAAAGATTTTTCCTTCGGCTCAGGTGAGCTAATAAGTGGTTGGGACTTCCAAAACACTTCCACATATCCATGGTATTGAGTTATCAGTGTTTGAGATACTGAATCTCAACTGTTTATAAATATTTACCTTTGCTTGCATGTTTCATTAAGAACTCGGTCTGACTCTGTTTTTCCCTTCTATTCATCCTTTTCTTCTTACGACCACAGGGACAGTGCTTCTTTGACCTCAGATATCCATCCCTCTGCATCTTTCTCCTTCCCCTCTCCTTCCATCGACACTTCATCAGCCTCGGCAAATCCCGACCAAACTCCTGGACGCATTGGTATTTCTGTAACCAATCAAAGCTTTATGTAATATTCTCTTGTGCCTTTATTAAGTAGTTCTGGAATTTAAACTTGAAATCTGTTCATAGAAAATGAATGCCCCCACCCAAGGTATATTTGTATACTTCAAACTGAGGCACAGGAGCATCTTCTCTGCTCTGTTCTCAAATACACATAAAAAAACAAAACAAAAATCTGTACTGTTATTACTGAAGTTCAAGGACATGTGGGAAGGAAGGTCAAGATCAGAAAATTAGTCCACATTTGAAAAGCTGTTTACAGTGGAAATATCTGACCTGTCCCTTTTTACAAGGTGGTTGGTTTTCAGGTTTGGAGCACTCCTTGAAGATTCGCTTTTGTTTTGGAGTGGCATACTTCAGGTACGACTCACTAATGGTAGGTAAACTGTTCACAGTATCCAGAAAATTCTTCTTCTGTTGCCTCATCATTTCTTTCCTGATCTTTTTGGTTACTTTCCTTAATAATAAAATAATCACAGTCAAATCATCCGATTTCAATGTTTTCATGGTATGAGGAGACCCATGAACTTTTTTTAATTTTCATACTAAAGTACAGGTGTACATGCATCACAATTCTCATTTAACAACAAAACTCAAATCCCTAACACCAATATCCCCCTCCCAATCTTAGAAACATTTGGCTCCACGAAAATATTTTACAATAGACAGCAAAGCTGCAAGTTTCTGTACAAAAATGTTTTTTTTTGTCAGTATCTTTATGACTGAGTTTTAAGAAAGAAGTGTAGAACCACAAATTAAAAATCTTGGAACAGAATATGTTCTTTCTTATAAAATCCAGAGTTACAAATGTGTAATGTTACCCCCTCTCCAATAGGATTGTGTCCCTCCAAGGTCTCCTTGTTGTCACAAAGGTATCAGAATCAACACTAAAACAAAGTACAGTAAAACTCAGTTATAACGAAGTCACTGGGACCTGTGAAATTTTTTCGCTATATCCGTAATTCGTTATAACCGTATAATAAAGACATTAAATTTTTGTTAGCTGGGGATCCAAGATGACTTCGCTATAACAGTAAATTCGCAATATCCATGTCCATACTAAACGAGTTTTGCTGAAACACACAATTATTTCTAATTTTTCAAGAAATCTTCATTAAATTGATTATGTTATGCATTTCAAATACATATAGGTATGTAATTAATGCAGAATATAACTAAAGATTATTTATCTGTTGAACCAGAATGACATACAATGTGTGTGTTATACCCGTGAGCTTGCTCTCGGTAGTCCTTGGCTCTGATCAGTTTCATCATGGAGCGCCCATCCATGTGACCGGGAATATCTACACCAGCCATATCCAGAATAGTAGGGGCCAAATCAATGTTCACCACAATGTTAGAAATCCTACAACGGAAGGTCAAAGGTTAGCACAATGTTAGAAATCCTACAACAGAAGGTCAAAGGTCAACACAATGTTAGAGATCCTACAACAGAAGGTCAAAGGTAAACACAATGTTAGAGATCCTACAACAGAAGGTCAAAGATCAACACAATGTTAGAAATCCTACAACACAAGGTCAAAGGTTACCACAATGTTAGAAATCCTACAACAAAAGGTCAGCACAATGTTAGAAATCCTACAACAAAAGGTCAAAGGTCAACACAATGTTAGAAATCCTACAATAGGTCAAAGTTCAACACAATGTTAGAAATCCTATGACAAAAGGTCCAAGGTCACCATAACATTTGAAATGCTACAATAGGTCAAAGATTACCTCAATTTTAGAAATCATACAATATGAAAACAAACATCACATTATATGTTAAAAATTCAATAATTTTAGATTTAAATTCCCAGCAATGTTAGAAGTCCTACTTAATGAATTTAAAATTTATCACAGTGTCAGAAATTTTAAGAATTTGATAGCACATTGTCATATACATGTAACAGCTGAATAATTGAAATATTCAAAAATTTTTTTTTTACTTGGATCTTGGTTTGATTCCAGGACCTCGGATATACAGAGGGACTCGTACATCAAAGTCATACGGCAAAGACTTGCCCTTGACAACTCCAAACTGTCCTAAGTGGTAGCCGTGGTCCGAGGTGTAAATAATGTAGGTATTCTCCAGCTCATCCAAATACCACAACTCATTATACACCTACAAATAAGTCTAATATATCTGAGTAATATGACGAAAATAAAATATGCTTCATTTAAGGGTACTTACCACAAACAAAAAATGGATGCGCAGGTTGATATATATTTTTTGACTGATTTTGATTTGAAATGACATAAATAATAAATCCCTGAAATATAAAGAAATCATAGGTTTTCCTTGGTGCTTAGATTTGAGATTTTGTTTTGCCTTCTATATAATTCCATACAAAATTTTGCACAATTTTTTAACTTTATGACAAAATCTTATGTAATTCTCCCACTCTACTTGGTAAACATTATTCAGGTTGTCAATTTAAATGTAAATCTCTGAGAAATAATGCTGATTTCTGAAAAAAAGTTTGTTTGTGTTATTTATCCTTAAGTAAAGTGGTCAATTAAAAAAAATGACCTGTATTGACTTTTTTAAAAAGTTTCTTGCAACGTTATTTGATTTTTTTTCCATTTTAGAATTTCAAAAAAATTAGGGCAGGCCTTTTTGAATTCTTACAAAATATAATGAAATACAGCAACTTTACAGTATTCAGTTGCCTACCACATTATCAGAGAAAGCTGAAACTCTTCTCTTTTTTTCTGTGACCAGTTCATGTTTTCTATGCAATATTTTACCTTTTCTACCAGTTCGTCCACTGACTGCAGTGTTTGCAGTCTCTTCTGTTGAAGAATGTCGGTGAATCTCTGCTCAATTGGCTCCATCTTTCCAGTCATTTTCAACAAATGCTGTTTGTCTGGATTAGGGGCCTTGTTCCAGGTGGGAGTTCTGTGTGTATACATGTATACAAAACATTAACAACAAATTACGAAAAAAGGTTTGAAAGAGAATCCTGTGATTTTTTTTTAATCAATGATGAAATCCTGTATTTTTTTAAAAAAAATATAATTATGAAATAACTGTAATTTTTAATGAATGATGAAATACCTTGGAATTTTATTCATTTATAAGACAACTGTGATTTTTAATTAACGAAGAAATACCTTGATTTTATTTACTAACGAGATACCATGATTTTATTTACTGATGAGATACCTGTGTAGGGTGTTATTGAAGAAGAGATGCTGGTACTGCGGGGCTGCATCCTCAGGTCCATGAGGGGCGGGGACACTCAACACCATTAATACTGGCCTGTGTAAGATATTTATAGAAATCACCATTTACAAAAACAGGATAAAAAAAAAAAATATTTTTAAAAATGTAGTTTTCAAGTACATGTATAGCTTACATGTGCCAGAAAAAACTATGCCAGAATTACCTTTTAGGAAAATACTGTTTACTGTTCTTAAGAAAAGTAACGCTATCATTGGCTATTAGGTCTGTAAAGTAGTCATGGTAATAATTATCCTCGTGCTTCATCTTATTTCCATTGAAATTCACTGTGTAGTTGTAGAATCTGGCATTTTTGATGAGCCCCACCCATTCCCTCCACCCCGGGGGAATATACGTCCCATTATACTCGTTAAGGTACTTCCCAAAGTACCCCGTTCTGTAGCCAGCGTTATTGAGGTAGGTAGCAAAAGTTCGAGTTTCGTGAGTCCTCTGCCAGAACGGAGAGGAGCAATTGTCATTATTTGTGTGTACGTCGTGATTGTGTGTGTAGAGTCCGGTCAGGATTGAACTGCGGGAGGGACAACACATGGGCGTGGACACAAACGAGTTGTTGAAGTGAACACCTTGGTCTCTCATAATGCGTAGAGTTTTTGGCATCACCTCCATTGAACCTACAATACAACACAAGTTTTACACTTTTCGTGACTTTCTCAGTTAAATAAGTGAAGTTATTGTTGATAATGATTTTATAAATTGATTTACAACCTTTTCAAAAGTGCTTGGTTATTCATAAACAGCAAAAAATGTGGGTGGTTTTAAATTTCATGCCTATAGTTTGAATGATTCAAGGCTTTAGAATTGGACCATAGATTCCATTCAAAAACTACTTCAATGATCTTAACAATGATCAGATTAATTATTATCTATACTAGTATAATTAAACTTTAGAACATCTTAAACAAATCAAATAGTTTGGTGTCAGAAAGAGTTCCCCATCTTAAATAATTTACAGTGATTTTCTTTTATTGAGCAATATTATCTAAATCTTTTATCATGACATTAGGTCAAAATGCACCTCCTTCATTTAGAACTCCCACCTTGCAATTTTAATAAGGGACAGGTGTACAAATACAAGGTTACAGTTATTAGATCAATTTCATCCATGTATTTTCATTATGTTTAACAATGAAAAGCACTTTAGTAGAACTTTCCCTGCAACTAACATGATTATAAGCCACTTTGTAATAAAACCAAATTTTGACAGATTATAGAAGATGTCTCTGATAAACACATCAGAATATATCAAAGTTACCTAGCAACTCATCCTGGTCGTCTGTCAAGATCAGCACAATGTTTGGTTTCTGACTTTTGGCCCGACGGCTGCCATAACGTGGGTTGGTTCCCTGTCCATGGGTATGAGAACCAGACCAAGATGCAAAGGTCCATCCTACAACCAGCCACGTCGTGTAAATAAGAAGAGTCCTCATTTTGTTTGAGGGGTATCCAGTTTATAAGATGCCGTGTCCTGTATAACTTTCATATGAATATTTGTGGGTGGCTGGTTCAATTCATCACATATAAGGAACCCTGTTGAACAAAGATCAGGATATACATGTATTAGTCACATGTCTGCATGTCCAATGCACAAATAACAAAATCAATTTTGAAATGATTGTCATACCAGAGGTGCAACAAAACCACAAATGGTATAATTCAAAAGGATGATAATCAATCAAAGAGTATGCATCTTTAAATATGTGAGAAAAATATTTGGAAAGCATAAATATTTTTCTGATCAAAATATAAAATATGTAGTAAATCCTTTAAATGCTCTTTATGTACACTGAAAATTATGAAGACATTTTAAATGAATTGCTTTTAACATGTTTAAAAGTCACAAACAAAAAATATGTACATGTAATAATTTGCAATAAAAATATAATTATGATAGCAATACATGTGTTTTTTGCACTATGAATGATTAGTCTGATTGAGTATCACATTGAATGAAAACTACCAATCTCCATAAGTTTTAAAAAGAAAATATTCTACGATGATAAGCAAAACAAAACACACACTTGTTTTGGGGGATGGCGAGAGCACCAGAGTTCTCCCTTCATCCATGTCTTACAGGCAGAGAGATTACCTCTTACATAACAAACCTTTTACCCACTGACAAAAATCTCATGAATGACATTGTCAGACATTAATATCTGTCTAGTTTACAAACATAGGGACACTCAACAGAGCTCTGTCTTCATTATCTGGCACTCATTCAGATATAGCTTTTTTTCTCGTACTGGAATATTCATAAGACCAGATTATCATACAATTGTCATTTTCATCAAATACCACAACTAATTTAGCATTTGTCAGTATTGACAGAAACCTATTAAAGTCATTGGGAAATTATTCATTGATAGCATATCAAGTCCTAGCTAGGAGCTAATATTTAATTTGGAAACGAAGGTGTATATTAATGTAATCTTTGCATGTATGTATTTCCTCGTCTATCAAATTCAGATCATCAAAAGAAGAACTGGACATATCCACATAATAATTAATACTAAATCAATATTAAATGTACAAAATTGTATTTCTCTCTCCCCTTCTGTTAATTAAATCTCAAAATTTATTTCACATTTTAATACCAGAGCAGAAGAAAATGTTTTGTTAGATCTACATCATTAAACCAAACATTCTATCCTAATTGTTTCGATCTCTCTAGTCTCTATCAAGAATTGAAATATGTACACTGTTTTACAATTGACAAAATCTAATCAAAAATGTATATAAAGCTGTAATTTTTAAATACAAATCTCCATTCACATATTTATAAAATAAAAAATTCCACTTTTAAATAATTCAGAAGCCACTTCACTAACCTTACCTTGTAGATGAAATGATAATTAAACAAGAAAACTTCATTATGCAATTCCTGGTAATTAATTTTAAAATGTCATCCAACACAATGGGAAGCACAGGTATAGAAGATGTTACATCACTAATTAGTCCAAGGTAAAGCCACACAGGATGGTAATCAACTCCACATCATAACCATAACCACATTACATATATCTAATGACCTCATCTGACCCCTGACCTCAAATAAACCCTGGCACTTACTAGCAGAGGCCTCCAATTGTTATTTTTGGCCTAGGTTAGGAGATGACTGAACTCCACTGATAATTGAAGGAAAAGAGGCCTTCATTATGTGAATTATAATCAAATATTTGAAGTTTTCCCCCCACTCAGGTTTTATTTCATTTTCTTTTGACAAGAGTAAACATGGTAAACCTTCCCATTTTCCCTTTTTAATGAAGTGATGAATGGCCTCTACAAAAAGCGAAACATTGAATTCAAATAGAAGCTGAAATATTTCAAGAGCTTTATACTTTACACTGAATTGTGAAAAACAAACATTCAAGTTAATCCCGTAAATCTAGATTTAGAAAAACATATCATTATCATTTCAAGCCTGTGTCAAAGTGGCAAAAACCTCACACATTTTTTCTTTGTAACTCTATAGGTTTGCTGCTTTGGAACAGAAAAATAATTCAATTGTTCTAACAGTTGCCAAAAAGAGAAAAGATATGGTGTATCTCCTAACCAGATCTTAGCCAATATGCCACACAGACAACCAAGGAAAAATCACATTTCTATCATTCATAAAATGCTTTTACTTTTTTCCTTTAGTGCGTTTCACATCAAAAAATTAAAATCATAAAAAAATATTTATGCTTCACTTGAATGTCAGAGAGCAAAAATCATACACATTACAACCATGCAGATGTTCTTAATTTTACTTTAAGAGGATACTTCATATGGCACATGGTGTATTATCTGAATGTCAGGTTCTCTAAAAATGCTGGAATATGTATTAAATTTAATACATACATATCAAGATGTAAAGTTCTTCTTGTCAGCTACTTTTCTGATAAGATTATATTTGTGCATCAATCCTAATGAAAGTAAAATTTCTGCCTTTTTTGATTTTGTTAACACTGCAGCTTCCAATCTAATATACGTCATCATATTCATATGAAGAGGTGAAAAGATGTGGCAAATTAAATAGACTAGACTGGGATTCAAACCTGGGCCCCCGGAATCTCCAGTCAGCCACCAACTGAACTAATTGGAACACTGGCTATCCAACCCATCATATATACTATTTAATGTAGTTTCCTTAAAAATTTTTTAATCCAAATATAAATTATTTTGCTTGAATGGGAGCAAAAAGTATAAATTACAATCATACAGATGTTCTTCCTTGGCATGTTGACTTACAGCTATCCATCAAGTTCTCTAAAATCCCTGGAACTTGCATCAAATTATACTTCTTACAGCTTCTATATGACCCCAGATTATGTTTGTGCATCCATCACAATGAACACAGTTTTCTACTCAACTTCTTTTTAGTTTTAACTTAATATTTGACACTGAAGCTTCAGAGCAAATGATTATATACCATCATAAATTGATATACCTACCATTAAGTACATTCAAACTCCTTCATATGAACACGTGGTAAAAATATTCCAGATAAATTATATATCTCAGCATTTTACATGTCAAGTTTTAAAGTGTAGACTTCCGGAGTGTTACACTATAGAGATGGTGATATCATCTGTTCAGAATGAACATCAATATCTTATGTACATCCTCTGATACAATCTATACAGTCTAAACAAACAATAATATGCTGAACACCTAAATCACAACTGAACATCACAAATCACAACTGAACACCACAAATCACTATTAAACACCACAAATCACTACTGAACACCACAAATCACTAGTGCATGAACACCACAAATCACAACTGAACACCACAAATCACAACTGAACATCAAAAATCACTACTGAACACCACAAATCACTACTAAACACCACAAATCACTACTGAACACCACAAATCACAACTGAACACCACAAATCACCAATGAACACCACAAATCACTACTGAAAACCACAAATCACTAATGAAAACCACAAATCACTAGTGCATGAACACCACAAATCACTACTGAACACCACAAATCACTGATGAACTGCTACCTAGATTTTAAATCATCCCAAAACTCCAAGTATTTTGAATCTCACTGACATCCAAACTCTTCAAATCTCAGACATCTTAAACCCTACATTAATAAAAAAAAAATCCCAGAGCTTGATTTAACAATGTGTTTGGCATTAAAACTGTGGTTACATAAAACACAGCTTTGATCTGAGCTTTGGTGAACCATATTATAGAGCAGACTGCTGCCCTACCTGGCATCTACCGCGGGTTCTTCTGATGCCATGTCTATTTTTCTTGGATTATTTGACTCTGATCCTTAGGTAGCTCTGACAGACTCCTTTCTACCGCTGCTTCTGATACAGGATTCTGTTTCAGAGGTTATACCCTAACAGCACAATGCAACTAAACCACTGACTTGGCAGCCCAATTACCCGCATAAATACGAAATGTTTATATACTTTGATTACTTTTTTTTGACGGAAGGACCATCTTATTGAAAAATAAAGGTTATTTTTAAGTGAGAAAATTATATCTATTTTCAATTGTCAGTACACATTACTATACCTTAATATAAGAAATAAATCAACTCAGCCATTTAATATGTTACTTTAAAAAATAAAGATTTTTTTTCAATTTATTTTTCAATTATCTTTTTCTTTTAAATACATAATATGGAAGAGTATGAAGAGAACAATAAGTTTTTTGTCCCCTTAAAACATGTTAAGTACAAGTGTGTCTTTGTCACTCGAACACTTGAAAAGTCGTGTACATGTATTTCCAAACACTGCATACAATAGGGACACCACCCAAAACAACTTCATTGATTCTGCACTTTCTTAATATATTTACATCAATTTGCAATTTTCTCTTTGAACAATAAATTGCATAAACATTTATCATAAAGAAAAAAACCAAGAATGGGAGACACCCATAAAAATTAACGATGTATTGACTGAATACAAATTGTAAAATTGCTGATTTCTGATTGATGGTTCCCCAACATCAGACCTTATTTTGTGACTGCAGATCTCCTGGTCTACTTAACAAACAATGTCTTCAAAGTATCTCAAACTGTTTTCTCACCAGATTTATTGATATCCTCTGCATTTACAGCTGTTTTTATACCTATCATTCATCCGAATCTTAAAGTAATTAAGGGCAAATGTGTTCGAGGCCTCCTTTTTATTCTATGTATACTAACATTTATAAGCGTTAAGAGTGCTATATCATTAAAACACACATAATCTCATACAGTGTTACATCATTTTATAATGAAATAAATTTATCACATCTTGAAATCATGAACCTAAGCAATAAATCTGAAAAATTTCTAGAGCCAAATTAAAATGTGATGTCAAATTTTATTTCTGATTGGCATTAAACAAAAATTTCAGAGGAAAAAAAATTCTCTTGCAAGGACAAATCTCAATTTCCTCCTGAAATATGCCACACATTATGATCATAGATGGAAACAATCTTCAGATTAATAGAAATATTTAGTGATGCCTAAACACAAAGACACACGGCCACTTACCTAGATTGTGAAATATCTGATTATTCAGCAGTCTCTCTTGATATTCATCAATCTTCATAACCACCTATCTAGGCATTGGAAATGTAATTCTGTAGAAAATCTGCAACAGAAAAAAAAAATCACCAAGGCATCAAGCAGAATTATTGGACTGCCGTTACATCAAAGGCATGTTATTATACATCTGCCTGTCATTATGTGCGGGTACATGCATGACATTTAACAATTTATACAGAGTTGGCCCAGATCAGGACGGTCCTATTATGTAAGTAGGTTACCATGACTATAAACAACTGTTATAGTGTCCCCACTGTCTCCATTCTATCAGGGAGGTGTAATTAATCCCCCTCATTTAAATTTAAGGGAGGTGTAATTAATCCCCCTCATTAACGCCTAATCACCAACCACTGCTGCTTTAAGAATAGATGAACTGAAGACATGCCGATTAAAGCTGAGGAAAATCTAGCTGTCGATCAGTCATTTCAGTGTAATTCTACCCTGGGTGTAACATCACCACCTAGAACATCGACATTCCTTATTTTCTTTGGGTGATATTCTTTCAGGTATCAGTGTATATATGCCTTAGATTCGCGATGATTTCCGAGATCGAGAACCGAGTTCGGTCAGGGAGTACAAACTGAGCCTAATATTACACTATGACTGAAGATCATGTATCTACAGTGATCTATCCCACTTGCTGAAATAAAATAAGGAAAAAGGCACAATCCCTGGTGTATAATTAATTGATGACGTGCTGGGAAAATTAGATGCACTTTTCTATGGCTCTCTCACTCCATACCATCTTCATCATGCGGAGAGTTTAAGACATAAAAATGCCAGAATATATAGAAAGGGTCCTTCCTCCATAACAAGAAGAAAAGGTTAAATGTACTGAAACTAAACAATAATATAAAAGTTCAAGCACCTCATAATCAAATCAAAAGTTCATTTATACAAAAACAGAATTTTTTTTTTCAAATTATCTAAAATATCATGAGAAAAAATTCTACTTATATAAACTCCTAAATTTCTCAGCAAAAAAAAACAACAGTGTGTGGTGACCTTTATTTGTTCTCCACTTCTATATGAATTTAATATATGTTAAAACAATTCAGCCTTTTCTTTAAAAAAAAAAAAATACCACACTACAGCAGAAAAATAAGTTAACAACTAGAAACGATCTCGTTGCGAGCAACGAGAGTCTTCCGTCCGATTCACGAAAAAAAAACCTTGTAAAATCAAACTGAAAAGTGATTCAAAATTTTGGTCACAAGGAGGATTGAGCCCAGGTCGCCAATGTAAATGCGCTTTTTTCTCTTTTATCCACAACGCGCAAACCATTAAGCCATTGGGAGTACTGCTCTAAATAAACTTGTGTATACTTTTGCAACAGTACACCTTTCTACGAATCAGAAAAGGCGGGGCACTTTTCATAATTTCGCGCCAAACGCCACGAGTAAATTCTTTGCACTGATCTATTAAATAGGTTTTTAGCTTCAATGAAATTAAATAAATAAAATGTTCTTATCGCCTTTCTTTTATTTCAACGTTAAGAAAGTATATTTAACGCATTGTACACATTACATATCGTACCCAGCCCAGTTACACTAAAGCAGTGAAACAGAAATTACGTTTTAAGATTGACACTGAATTGCAACGTACTACTACGTGAAAGTCCAAGTAGTTTTCCACATTTCATGTATCCTTATGTCAGAATGGTGTAATCAAACGCTCAGCTGCCCCCATAAACCCCTACTCGCGAAATGAAGGAGTTGACAGAGACAGCCGCCATTTTGGGCCCGCTTCAGATTTTCAAATATTAATATCTAGAGTTCAGATTACCCAATATTCAAACAACTTATATAGTAAACATCAATAGAAGGGTCTCTATTAACATTCCAAAAATAAATGAAAAATTTTGAAAAACAAAAAAGTTAGAAAATACACTTTTTTCAATTCGCATCTCCTAACGACAGGAAGTATTGACGAGGAACGAAAGGTCGCGTCCTGGTTAGTATCTATCACGATCTATAATCCCTGAAAGTTTCACATTGATATCTTTTACCGTTCTTGAGATTAACCACAGACAAAATGTCATTTTAAAATCAGGAAATGTCCCCTAACTTGGCACCAGAAATGAATTTTCAAAAATTGAAGATGGAAGACCTTAATTAATAGAAACTTGATGCAACACAGACACAAAGTTCACAATAAGAATCCTTAATATTGTCAACTTTTCTTATGTGTAAAAAAGCATTGTGCTCTGCCATAAGGCCTACCGGCTTGGGGTAAAAAGCTGAGTGGAGTGGAGTGGAGTGGAGTCGTGGAGTCATGGAGTGGAGTCGTGGAGTGGAGTCATAACAAAAGTTTGAGAAAAAAAATATCTCCCCTTCATTGTCGTTTTGGATTTGTGTACACTGTAATAAACAAGAAACAAAAGAAGTAATAATAATAAATGTCAAACAGAGAATCACTTAGAAATGCTTTATATAAACACTATCTAAACTTAGCAAGACTGTTTGACCTTATTCGCCTATCCCAAAACAGGCAAACCTAGCAAGAGGTGTTGACAGTTTTAATATCAAACAGAGAAAGAGCACTGCACTACAGAACTGATGACAGCAATTTAATGACAAAACATTTTTTTTTCATTTTACTATTAAAGTGCAAAAATTTGAAGGTCACATTTTTTTTCTGTATTGTCACTTACTTTTTTCTGTTTAAAGTAGAGGACATGCTACAGAAAAGAGTGTGCTCTGCCAAATACATATCAGCCATTGGATCTGTTGAAGTTTAATAATTAACCAGGATTAATTACTAGACTTAGAATAAATATAATTACCGGAATTGAAAACCTTAAAAAGTAAAATATTTATTGAAATGAGCTCAACAACTTGTGTTTTTTTTTCATTTTAAAGTACACATTGTGCATTTTAAACAATGACACACAATTAACTTCAATTAAGAAATAAATAACAAGTTTATAAACTTGGGATCTGCTTTAAGTGTGAAGGCCGAAGGCCTTCTCAGATGTATAATTCCCATAAGTTTATAAACTTGTTATTTATTACTTATATATACATTTGAGACAGACAATTGAATATTTTCGAATTTAAATTATTGCACTAACCGTCCGTCGTAGATTTTGAAAAATGACGCAAGGTGTAAATCGGCTTGCATGGCGGTTACGCTTCAAATTGAATTGTACTACTATACTACATTTCGAAGGGAATATTTTGTGAAAGGCTACTTGTGATTAGTAATAGTGAACAGATTGTTGTCTGGGAATATTTTATTCGTGAAAAATGTTAATCGATGCTGAAAAGACACAAGAAACACGTCCGAAGTTTGATGATAAAAAGTTGGAGGAATTTCGGTCGCTGGAAAGGGATGGATGGATCCGATGGACTGAGACACTTGTCCGGGCCAGTTAATTTGCATTTTGATCAAAAACATTCTACGGTTTCAGTAACTAAAGGCATACTTATCGTAAAACACTGATAAACACGGAGACACTGGCGACAGCTTTACATTGAACTACCGCCGAGGTGTTTGGCAGTTGTTCATGGCATGATTGCAAAGATATTTTCCAACAGATATACACATTTATCGTGAGTAAAATTTAAAGATAAAATAAAAGTTTATCATGAAAATTTAACCAAAGGTCTATCCAAAAAATAAGGATGAACGTTAGAGACTGTGCAACTGACAAAAGTGAAGAAAAATGTAAACAAACGCTAGGCTCCTAGCTTTCTCTGTGTACACAGGTTGAATCGATAGCCCAAAAACTGTATGAAATACTTGTTTACATTTAAAATAAAATAATTATCATTTAACTTGCTTATTTTATTCATTTTTATACATGAAAAGCAAGTAGAGCAGGTCATTTTATAATTTATGTACCGGGTAGATATTATTGCGCCGTGTGATTCGGTCATGTATTGACCTTTGACCTCCGACAAACTTCATACAGAATTGAAGATATTTTCTTTCTGTATGTTTATATAGTGGAGAGATACCACAAATGTATATATATAAAATTATTTGACCCTTGTTTTGTGAAAAGGGAGCTGTTTTATACCTATAATTAGTTTCACCAATATTTGATCAAGCTTGTTTTATAAATGTGACTCATAACAAAATTAATACATATGATAAGTAATGTCCCCACCCTAAAACAAGTGCTTTCCTTTTATTTTGCTGATCAATGTATAACATGCAGTCTATCAACCAATTTTACATTCAGTATAATTTTCCTTATCAAATCCATTAGAAATCCACGACGTTCAAATTTCTATAACACACGCGAAACCTTGTCACCGCGCGTTAGAATACACAGTAAGAACTATATGCATTTTCAATACTCTAGAAACACCAAAATGTAAAATGTTTTATTTCAATTTAATGAAAAACTACAACCCTGAAAAATTAACGTAGAAATCAACGTAATGTGCGTTAAGAATTAATTTGTCACTTTTTTAATCGCAATGTTTGTTTGCGTAATGTAACTTTGCAACGTCACTTAACGTCATCTGACGTCACAAACGGCTCTTACGTTAGTTTTGAAGGGCGCTAATTTCACATTAAATGTTGACGAAATAAGCAATTATGAAGAAGGAAAATTAGAGAATGTAAATATAAGCATTGAATTCATATTTTTGGCTGTCTTCGGTCCTATATCACACCTGGCCGTGCCGACAAATTTATCATACCGCGCTAACGCATCATTGAGGCAATTATTTATTATTGATGAAAACATTTTGACAGAATTCATTGGGACTTTAAAAGAATGTTTATCCCTATAGCGATGTGATGAAATGTATTTGCTTACTTCTGATTATAAAGATGTGTTGTAAACTAAGTTATTTATATCTTATTGATTAATCATTATATATACTGCAGTTGGAGGGGCAGATATAGTAACACATTTGTTTGTTTTAGTTTGTGAAAGTTAACAGGTGACATCATGTAGATTTTTTTGCTGACAAAAGCAATATACCACTTAATTCAGTTCTTTTTCAAGCAAATTTTTATTTACAATCAACAACTGAGTAAGCATTTCAAGCGCAGTAATTAAATCTGTCAGCTCTTCTCGCCTGTTGGGATGGGAGTGCATATGGGTCACTTGGTCTCTGTTACTCAAAACAAAAAGTTATTCCCATTGATGTGTTGACATTTGAAGGTTATATCCCCCCCATTTTCTCATTCATCTACAATATATATGAACTATTATTGTAACAGTCTCTCAATGATCACAGACAGCTATAGCTTGGGCATATAGAGTTGAAAAGGAAAGGAGGGATTGTGTTCGATTACCTGAGTAAATTTTTGAATTCCATAGCTCTACATCTACTATATAGTAATGTTCTGTGGTGTTTCCTACAATTTACCAATACCTGCTAACCTCTACGCCCAAAAGCAGAGTTGTAAATATTCACACAAAATGAGAAATAACAAACAATTAAATAAGATAGTTTTACTTTTAAAAATAATTTAGATAGAGATTGAAAGCTACCGCATTATATAATACAAGTAAAATAAAATAAAATTAATATGAATGTAATGATTTTTTGACAAATCATTGAATATTTTGAACATTGTAGCAAACCATAAAATTTTAAGAACAACACAAAGTTGACAACATCCTGCTTGAACTAGTCATCTTTTAAAAAAAAAAATTGAATAACCAAATACATTTCAGCACATCGCTATTGGGATAAACTTTCTTTTAAATTCTCCATTGACTGCATGTTATATATTGACCAGCAAAATACAACGAAAGCACTATTTTTCCCCATTACTTATGATATGTATAATTTTTGTTCTGGTCACATTATAAAATAAGCTTGATCAAATATTGGTGAAACTAATTTTGTGACTAATTGTATGTTGTTTTACATCCCTCTCGAGAATTTAAACTCATATTTAGACCCCATCACCTGTGGATGGAGATTGAGCTGTAATTTTTGTCCTATACTCGCACTATACTTGATCATTGAGCAGTGAAGGGTATTTTTCGTGCTAGTAACTACTGCAACACAGTACAATGGACATTGATGTTTGCGTTCTCATCTGAAAGACCGGTCTCTATTTAGTCCCACAGTGGAATTCAAACCCATAATGTAAGGATGAGCTCCTTACTGCGCGATTGAGCAGACACTCCAATCACTGTGCCACGCGGGTGACAAAACTAATTATAAGAATGAAGTATCACAAGTTCCTCTTCAAGAAACAAAGGTTAAAAATTTGAAAAATAAGTAATATCGTTTAAAATGTGTTTCAAAAATCAGACATAGCAACACCAGTTTCTCAGCAAACATTTCAAAAAATATTATCCATTTTATCTTTCACAGCTGTATGATATGTATTTGTCAGTCGAGTCTATTAACACCTATATTCTGAGGCATGTCTCCTAAAAGGGATATATGCATGTAAATATTTAGATATATATGTTTATGTACAAAGATAGAGATACAGAAAAAAAATTGTGACCTTCAAATTCCAACAAAGAGGATATCTTTAATAGTGAAACCTATTTTTTAAAAATATGTGCCTAGTTGTCATCAGTTCTGCAGTGCTCTTTCTCTGTTTGATATTAAAGCTGTCAACACCTCTTGCTAGGTTTGCCTGTTTGGGATTGGCGAATAAGGTCAAAAAGTCTTGCTAAGTTTAGATAGTGTTTATATATTACGTAGTAACGCATTTCTAGGTTATTCTCTGTTTGACATTTAAAGGTCGTTAGTTTTTGATTGCATGGACTTCTTTTGTTTCTAGTTTCATTCTTGGTACAGTGTACACAAATCCAAAACGACAATGAAGGGGAGATAAAATTGTTTTGTTCTCAAACTTCCTGTATTGTTATAATACAGACTCCACTTCACGACTCCACTCCATGACTCCACGACTCCACTCCACTCCACTCCACTCAGCTTTTTACCCTTGCCTACCCCCCACTTCTGTTGTGTTTCCAGGGGGAACAATTGATCTGCATCCTTCTCATGTAGCAGGCTTCCCTGACATTGTACATTAAGAAAAACTGTAAATTTGATCTGCTTTAAGTGTGGACAGCAGATGTATATCATAAACTTGATTTTGTCACCACAAACTGTCTGTGGCTTCTACCTGTCTGCTACAAATCACCACACAAAGGAATGGAATGTCACACTGCTCTGAACATTTGTCGCTAGTACAAAATGCGATATGACCCAAAATACAGCTGAGGCAAAGGTGCATGACTAGCATGATAAGGGCATCTGATAACTCAATCAGAGAAAAAAAAATACTCTGTTTTAAGGTAAATCACCTCCCTAACCCCTGGTTCTGTATAAATTATATTCTGTATACATCCACATTCTTAAAATATATGTACTTGTGTGACACTGCCTACAATGTCACCCACTGAGCAATATTGCCTCTTTTTATTTACCTGAATAATTGCAAAACAATTTTACAGAGACTGTGCTTTGCTTTTACATATTAGACCTACAATATGAATATCTTATGGCATTATGCATCCATATCTTGAAAGAAATGTTTCATGTCAGAAGCCTGGGAAAAGCTTTAACCATGAATGTCATTCATCCATTAAAACTGTTAAATCAATTTAAGCCAAAAGTACTGGTAAACTTTTCCCTTAATTTGTGCTATGTATAGTACTATACACATAATGTCAAGATTTAATTAATGTGCTTTACTACCAGTAACCTGAATGTGCAGATTAGGATTTTTTTAATTAAAAAAAACCCAAAAACAATGTAAACGTCCTATCAACATAATTATTAATTTACTTAATAATCATTGGTTCAAATGATTATTATATCTAAATAGTAATTAGCCATGCACAATCAGTCAAAGTAATGGACTTTATCGTATTATATCACTGTATATGATTATAACATTATGGGCAAATAAAAGGGTCAGTTATTGTTTGCTTTACCTATATTCATTAAATCTTTGATCTTCATAACAAAATACAACAGGTGATCAAGCAGTCTTTTGATTCCACTGACAACACTACAGGAAAAGTGCTAGATAAATATTGATATACACGGAACAAGTGCCCATTCAGCACAGAGGTGGCATCCAACATTAAAGTTCTCATCAAATGACACCCTTCACTGCACCATAGTGCAAGATAACATTATACATTGTATGTATTTATTCTAAGTCCAACCCAGCTCTTTGTAAAAGAAAAAAATGTAGCAAGGATCAAAGTCCTGCACCAGCTCTGGTCTAAACAATCTTATTTTTCTTGTGGATCAATTATTTAGAATGCTGAGTCATTTGAGTGGAATACCGGGGTTGACCCTGAGATAGCCTGCAGTTTACTGTGCACTCTCAACCTCCCCCAAACAATGGAGATTTTAAAGAGGAAAACATGTCAATGAACTGTTATGTCAAATCTGTATAAAATGGAACTTGTATAAAAATGCGTCACAACAAGAGATTATGGGCAAGTGCTCAATGACTTCTGCTAGGTAAAACTTTGTACAAGAGAATACACATTTCATCTCAATCAATTCTTTTCTACATTTTCTTTTACAAATAATCTATGTGTATTAAAACAGTCAAAACTAATTGAATTAGTATAACTATAACACTGCACATTTTAAAACACTCAAACCCTAAAATATATCTCAGACACGAGTGAACTCTTTGCTGCACCTTCTTTTATTTTTCCTCAAGTTAATATGAATACATACTATTAATTTTTTTTGGATAGAAAGGGAAAATGCTTTGTGTGGACAATCTTTCTAAGTGTCTATAACCACTGATTTTCTACAGACATTGACATTTCATTTCAAATACTGAGAAAACTTATAAAGAACAAGGGGAATTAATTACAAGGATACACAAAGACCCTTTTCAGGTAAAAGTGAGCATGGGATTCTGCTTTCTATCCAACAAAGGAAGGAGAAGCGTTTCCTTTCTATTAATGTTAAGTAAAAGCTGGGCAAGACAATCTGATTCGTGAGTGCGTGTGTTCACGATAGTAAAGTATATATTATGGAAAGGAATAGCAAATCATCAATATACTTACCAATAACACATAAAATCCTGAAAACTTAAAACCGAACAATGTCCCTAAACATAAATAATCTTAATTCTTGAGTCAACATCAAGACATTATCACTCATTCACTGATGACTGTGGACTTGTCTTGTGTGCAGACTGTGGGGTTCAATGAAAGTTTAAATATTTTGAACATCGAGCCCGCGCTAATAAAAGTGGAATAGACTGCACCTTACAACATGTACATACGAAAGCGACAGTGTCTGCTTTCAAGAGGAGCGGTTTATATTTGCTAAAATGAACAACATCATAACTGTAACTTTACCTAATAACAATAAATAACAAGAGACCCATGGACCAACTGGCTCACCTGAACACATTGCTAGAGAAGAGTAATAATTACCCCCCTCCCCTTCCCGGATAGTGGGCTAGATTTATTAACATTTGAATGTACATTAAGTTACTGGGGATGAAGATGACCAATCTTGACTTTGCTATTCTTGAGAAGAAGATGTTTAAAGACCTTAAAAATATTTCTATGTAAAACTTTGTGACCCGTCCATCTTACCCCCGGGGCAATGATTTGATTCATTATATGTTATTTAACGTCCCTCTCGAGAATTTTTCACACATATGGAGACGCCACTACTTGCCGGTGGAGAGCTGATCACTTTTGTCCTATACTCAGCGCTTACAGCCATTGATCAGTGTCAGAGGGGTCTTTTTTTCGTGCCAGCACCTACTGCGACACAGCACTTGGGTTTATACAATCTCATCCGAAGGAACGGTCTCCACATCCTACGAAGTGATTCGAACCCGCGACGTAAGGATCAACTCCAGACTTCACGACTCTAGATCTACAGCAGACGCTATAACCACTGCGCCACGCAAGAACTCATATGGCAGTTGTATATATATATAAACTTGTGTCAAAAGGAGATCCAAAGCAAATATATACTCACATGTCCTCACTTGTGGACCCCAAATCCATGATATGCTTCGAAGAATAGATAATGTCTTTCTAGAAAACGCAGACAGCAAAAAGAATAAAGAACTATATGCGGTATATTGCATATATTTGCCCCCACAAAATTCGAATTTTGAAAACTTCCTGAAATGTGCTGAATTCAATAAATTGTATGAGAAATATAAATTAACAGAAAATATTATAGTGTCAAAGCAGTGTATTCACAATTTTTGTTTTTATGACGTCACAAACTAGTCCGATTTTATATCCTTTTTCAGAAAGAGGGCAAAATGGACAAGATTTCAACAATTTTAGCTTTATAATTTATAGAGCGCAAGTTTGTTCAGGAACAATATTGACATATTTCATTGATATTATCATTCTACACTTTATATCAAAGTATTGATCCTGAACACACATGCGCTCGGTGACTTTTACTCAAAATATCGACGAAATATGAACATTTTTCTGTAAAATTCATAAAAACTTAAATTTACGTCATGTTTGTGACGTCATAACGTACATATGGCGTCATTACTTATGAAAATATTCAGTGCTTTGAAGTCAGCATATACTCCCCTGTTTAAGAACTTAATTAAATATATCTCCATCAAAGTTTGATTTGGGGGGCAAATATTGGTTATTACCGAATAAAGTTCTTTAGTTAGATACTAAATCGCTTAAACATAGGTAATAACAGCTCAGAGCAAAGACAAAAGCATAGGCGATATAATAATTAGACCACGTTTACCACAAGAATACACTACTAAGGTTGACCCCTGAAGAGGCGGATCTTAGGACAAGTTCACCTTCACCTATCCCTTGACTTCGTGGACGTCGTTGGGGCATCTTTGAAGACCTTTCCACCACTTTTATCCATAAATCTCTGTTTTCTGTCGCTTTCTGGGTTTCTGCGAGGCTCAGTCCAGTCCACTCAGGGATGTTGTCTTCCCACCTCTTCTTTTGCCTTCCTCTTCTTCATCCTCCTTTCACTGTGTCTTGCAGGATGGTCTTTGCAAGGCCACTCGAGCGTGAAAATTGGCCGTACCATCTTAGTTTCCGCTTCTTGAAGACAGTGAGAAGGTCATCGTGAGGTCCTATAGCTTCTGTGACTGTCCTGCGGACCTCTGCATTGGTCACATGGTCCGTGTAATTGATGCCTAGTATCTTCCTATAGCATCTCATCTCAGTGCTCATAATCCTCTTCTCTAGCTCAGCAGTGAGAGTCCAGGTCTCACAGGCATATAGGAAGACCGACATAGCAAGGGAACGCATTAACTGGATCTTCGAGCAGAGTGATATTTCTGTCTCTCCAGATGGTTTGTAATTTCGCTAATGCTGCAGTTGTTTGTGCAATCTTTGCTTTAATCTCTGGTTTGGAGCCTTCGTCTGATATGATGGATCCGAGGTACTTGAATGACTTCACTGTCTCCAGACATGTTCCGCTGACATTGACTTAAATTGAGGTGATGCCTTGAGTGTTGTTGGTCATCAACTTTGTTTTTTCTGCACTTATCTTCATACCATATGCAGAAGCAGCTTGGTCAAGGTGATTCATCGAACTGGTTAGTTCAGACTCTTTCTCTGCAAGGCCATCAGTGTCATCAGCGAATCGCAGATTTGTGACGGTTCTTCCTCCGATGGAGACTGTGCCTTTGTGATCATCGAGAGCATCATCCATAATCCTTTCAAGGAAGATGTTAAAGAGGATGGGAGAAATAAGACAGCCTTGGCATACTCCTATTGTTGTGCGGAACCAGTCACCAATCCTATTATTTAGGAGAATTGCATTGGTGGCCTTGTTGTATAGCTCTTCAATCACTTGAACAAGGTTGGCATTGATGTTGTATTTCCTCATGGTGGTCCATAAGGCAGTATGCCACACTCTATCGAAGGCTTTTTTGAAATCAATGAACACATGATAGAGGTCTTGTTGGTGTTGTAGGTATTTCTAACTGATTATTCGTAAGTTGAATATCTGTTCTGTGGTACTTCTTCCTGTTCTAAAGCCTGCTTGTTCTTCAGCAATGATGGTCTCTGCTACAGGTTGAAGTCTGTTTAATATGATTTTCAGCATCACCTTGCTTGGATGGCTTATTAAACTGATGGTCCGGTAGTTGTTACATATCTGTAGATTTCCTTTCTTTGGTAAGGTAATAATCAGTGATTGTATCCATGGAGTTGGCTATATTCAAGTGCTCCAGATATTGTTGTAGATGGTTGTAAGAGCTGTGATAATTGCTTCTCCTCCAGCCTTAACTAGTTCCGAGGGTATGTTGTCGATACCTGTTGATTTCTATTGTTTTATAGCATTGATTGCTGCCTCGACTTCTTCACGTAGAATCGGAAGTAAATCCTTCTCTGTATTTGCCATTGGGCAGTTTAATACTGCTTGGTCTCCCTTAAGCTGGTATTTGTATAGCTCAGAGCAGTACTCTGTCCATCTGTCTTGTATATCTTTCTCCTCAGTTGGGCAAGTACCGGTTATAAAACCACCGAAACACTCTTCACTTTATTTCTATATATACGAATTAATGAATGCTTATATTTTCAACAGAAAAGAATGTTGCAAAGTTTGGTTTAGACTGTAGGGACACGTTTGGCTGATTGATGTCTTACACAACACCTTACTTACACACTTAATTACTTACTTAGGCCTGTCGTTCTGTGAGGAACATCTGTAGGCCGTCGACGACAGTCTTCCAACGAACTCGATTCTGGGCTGCTTTCAATACACCATGCCGGGTAAAGCCCTTTGCCTATAATTTTGTTTTCGACTCACGCCCCAAGTTTTTCTTGGACGTCTTCTCTCTTTCTTTTGCCCTACGACGTATTGTCAATTAACAATAGTTATTTCCATTTTTATGTCGTCGATACGATATATCCCGGTGAACTTGAAATAAAAGGTACAAAAAAGTCTGACACATCTGTTTACTTTACGAGTATTTGGATATTTTACTTGAAAAAGACGTCAATGGTAATCTAACAACCAAACATTGTGATAAACGTGATGACTTTAACTTTTCAATCGCCAACTTTCCTCACAGCGATATACCCTCATCACCATCATACAGAGTTTATATAACTCAGTTGATGCGATAGGCAAGAGCAGGCTCTACATATGAACAATTTCTAAAACGAATTAATTGAAAAAGAAATTGATGAAACAAGAACATCAGCAGTCTATTTTAAAGTCATCATTTCGTAAGTTCTATGGTCGATACAATGGCCTTGTTAGGAAACACAATTTTTCATTGAGTCAAATGCTGACTGGCGTTTTTCATAACAATTGCAAGTCCTTTACACTGAATTGACGACGGATTTTTCCGTTATTTTCCGATCATGACAAGGAGCACACGGCGGGTGTGACCGGTCGGCAGGGGATGTTCACTTCTCCATGACACCTGATCCTTCCACCTCTGATGTTTTGGAGGTCCTTGTTTGCTCGATCTCCTCCTATCTTGTATTGTTTAATGGACTTTTTTATCTTGAATACTGTTTGTTATCTCCTTATGTTTCATCCAGGTGTAATGATTTGTATAATACGGAATTACTATTATTGTATGACTATGTGAAACTTGCTTTCCTGTTCTTCAAGGATGCTTTATTTATATCTACTTTGTTTGTTTCCCATCACTTATAAACTCGAAGAATTCATTACAATTACAAGAATTTAAAGGAAACGTTACATTGAGCATAAAAGTTATTTTGATTTAAAAAGGAAATCCAGTTGTAAGCTTTGACGTATGTAGGCTATCATTGTTTATTACATATAGCAACATTTTCCCTTTAAAGGCAGATGAGGGAAATTTTTTGTTATTTTTCAAATGTCAACTATACAAGGGAGGTACAATTGTAAGTAAAAATGTTCAAACTTTTCAGGGTCTATCAGCAAATTTGACCAAAAAAGCAACAACTGTGTAGGTTAATTAATTTGAAAATGTTGCTGCACATTAAACATTATTTTATAAATGTCATTTGGATTAGCAACAAGGAAAAGGGAACAATTCTTTATCATATTTGGGTATGTCAATTCAGTAAGTGGGTATTTTTTGAAATTTAAATGAATTATCTTATGAGGTGACATCAGACATTACTCGTCTCTCCCTGAAGCTAAGTGATAGAAATAATTCTTTCAAAACTAATCATCGCACTTAAAAACCTTGAATTCTTTATCAAATATTTCCAATT